AAAGCAGACGCTCAGATCTGCAGACGCTCAGATCTGCAGACGCTTAGATCTGGTTGCAAAAGTCAGCGGATGAGCCTCAGATGACGACGTTCAGATCGGAGCCTCAGGTCTCAGACTCACTCAGTTTAATAAAACAGTCTGGTTTGAGTTCTCCCCTCTCAGTGAGAGAGCGGAGTTTTCTGTCTCTTGTTTTTAAACTCACAGATGTCTGAAGATATGATCTCATTAGCTGTCATGACTGTTTCTCTGTGTCCTTCACGGCAGCGTTGACTAACAGTCTGAGTCGTCGTTCTAACCGTGCCCTCTCTCTCTCTCTCTCTCTCTCTCCTGCAGATGCAGATGTCAGGGATCATCAGTAACTCCGTCAGCAGTCGAGCTTCTCCTGAAGCTCCTCCTCTGGCTGACAGTCCGGAGTGGCGTCTGATGAAGGTGTACGACCTCCTGTACTGTTTCCGCAGAGACTCCAACAAGGTGCAGAACTACCTGAAGATCCTGAAGTGTCGTATCGTCCCCGAGCACGGCTGCTGAGGGGGGGACACTCTGACGTCTGACTGGATGGAGGAAATGAATAAACTCACTTGTTACACCTGAGGAGAGGCTCACAGGTGTGCTCACAGACCCGCTCACATGGACTGACATGACTGTGGACAGGACGGCGTGAATCATGACTCCTGTATGATGCAAATCATGTTTAAAGTCAGTAAACATAAAAATCATGAAACCGTGAAAACGCCCGAGTTTTATTTTAGAGAATCGAGAGAAAATCTGAAAAGGAGGTTTAGGAACTGAAATAACAGACACATATATATACACACACTGACACACACAGATACACACACACACACACACACAGGGTTTGTTTTCTGATCACTTTTATTGATTAAAGAAAATACAGACACGTTTTGCTGATCAGTTCATTGGAGTTTACGACGCAGCTGCGACAGAGATGACCTCCGACCTCCCGCTGACCTGATCCACACAGGACACCTGCAGGGAGCCATCCCTGAAACACACACACACACACACACACACATACACACACACACAGTCAGTTTCACCGTTAACAGCAGAGACTGAATCAGCGTCTCCTGGACCGACCGATTCACATAAGACAGGAGTGTGTGTGTGTGTGTGTGTGTGTGTGTGTGTGTGTGTGTGTGTGTATGTACCTCTTCATGGTGACCACTGTGTCGATGTTGTGAGTCTCTGAAGGTTGTAGGTCTCTGAGGATGATCTGAACGTTCAAACAAACAAGAAGATAAAGATGGATTCATTAATGTCACACACACACACACACACACGCACGCACACACACCTGAGCGAGCTTCTCGGGCTGCTGGGTCATCAGTCTTTGGTAGATCTGCAGGCTGAGGGAGGACAGCGCCCCCCCTTGTAAGACGTGATGTCTGCGGGCAGGAAGTGGCGTTCCCGAGGGGAGGAGCACCGTGAACACCTCCGCGCCAGATTCATCGTGTTCCTGAGACACAAAGAAACACAACAGAGATAAAAACACGAGAATCAAGACCAAGACTCCTCAGACCGACTGAAACACGGAGAATAAAGACGTTTTAATCGTCCACAATAAAATCAATAAATAAATGACATTAATCATTAAATAAATACATTAATGAATAAAAACATGAAGAAATAAACATACACATACAGGAATAAATAAAGTTAAAACTAATAAACATTAAACAGACAGGGATAGATAAATGAATAAACTCATACATAAATAAATAAAATAAATAAATAAATAAAATTAATTTATACACATCCAGGGATAAATAAATAAATTCATATATTAATATTTAAGATATAGGAAAAGATAAATAGATTTTTTTTATTAAATAACTGATATTTAACATAAAAGAATACAAAGATAATTCATTAAAATAAAAAATAATTTAAATAAATAAATGTATACATACAGGGATAAATAAAGAAAAATAAATTCATTTATTATTATTTAACATACAGGAATAAATTAAACATTATTTGACATAAAAGGATAAATAGACAAATAAATAATTAAATTAAAAATAATAATTAAAAAAATTAATGTTTACATACAGGGAGAAAGAAGTTTTAAAATTAAGAAATAAATTAACAAATATTTAACATACAGGAATAAATAAATAGATAAATAAATAAATGAATATTTAAAAAAAAATCAATAAACAATCAATTAACTCCAACATCGTTTGTTGAAGTAAAGAGAGAAGGATGTTGTTTTGGCAGCTCACCTTCAGCAGGATGTCGGGGACAGAAACATCCACGCTGTATGACTCCTCCTCTGGTCGCAGCCCTTCTCTGCCCACCAGAAGCCCCGCCTCCAAGGCCGCACCCACCGCAATGACCTCATCAGGAGGCGCCGAGCTCAGCAGCTCCACATCAGGAAACATATCACGGATCATCTGCTGTAGGCGAGGGATCCTCGCTGAGCCGCCGCACAGGACCACCTGAGACGGCGGTCAACATGACAACAACAAACAAAGGAGAAAACAAAAATAAACAACGACCATCAGATAAACTTTAAAGGTAAAAATCGAGGTTAAACAGGCGAGTCAGAGAATCGGAGAATGAAAACACCCGTACCTTGTTGATGTCTGAGGTGGAAAGCCCCGCCTCCTCCAGCAGCACTCGGATTGGCTGGATGCTCTTAGTGAAGAGCGCAGAGCACAGCAGCTCAAAACGAGCTCTGAAGAAACACAAACGTCACATTATCACGGGTTTTAACTTCGTTTTTAACGGCGTTCGTACATCTGTTTACAACTGAGTTATTAACAATGTCTATGACGCCATAATTTAACACGTTAATCACATTTAGAGCTGCAGTTTAACCGCAATGACTAACAACCTTTATAACAGTTTAATCATAAATCTGATCAGATTAATAATCAATTCACTGAAACAAAGACGGGAATTATCTCTGCATTTTCTCACAGACAAGTTTATCAGACGTCATCTCAGTGTCTGTTCCTCCTGCTGAATCATGTGACCAGACTGAGAAAAGTCTTTACTTTCTAAATCAGGTTTAAATTAAGTTTTAATCCAGTTTGAATCAGGGTTAACTCAGGTTTAAATCAGGTTTAAATTAGAGTTAAATGAAGTTTAAATCAGGTTTAAGTCAAGATTAATGCAGTTTAAGTCCAGTTTAAATAAGAGTTAAATGAAGTTTAAATCAAATTTTACTCAGGTTTAAATAAGAGTTTAATAAAGTTGAAATCAGAGTAAACTCAGGTTTGAATCAGAGTTAAATGAAGATTAAATCAGGTTTAAGTCAAGATTAATGCAGTTTAAGTCCAGTTTAAATAAGAGTTAAATGAAGTTTAAATCAAATTTTACTCAGGTTTAAATAAGAGTTTAATAAAGTTGAAATCAGAGTAAACTCAGGTTTGAATCAGAGTTAAATGAAGATTAATTCAGAGTTAACGCCGGTTTAAATCAGGTTTAAATTAGACTTAAATGAAGTTTAAACTGGGTTTAAGTCAGGGTTAATAAAGTTTTAATCAGGTTTAAATCAGAGTTAAATCTGTGTCCATCTCTGTCCTGATTGGTTACCTGGAGACACTGCAGTCAAAGTCGACGCCGTCGTGCAGCGAGTCGACAAAACAGTTGGCTGATCCCAGAGTGGACAGCGAGTGTTTGATCATGTCGGCGCCATTCATCAGCTTCAGCATCGCCCGAGGGTTGGCGCTGACGTCATGTCTGAAAGAGCTGCACACACACACACGTGCACACACACACAAACTTTAACCCCGCCCTCAACACTCTCTGATTGGCTGGTCGGTTGATAACTCGAACACTGTTTATTTCTGTGTTTGATGTACGGTCTTTTAGTGTACATAAATGATCGAGTGAGTAAATCAATAACTGATAAGTTCATGCTGTCACCGTTTGAATTCCGCCGCCAGGTGTTGGGCGAGCGCCTGAGTGAAGCGCTCTCCCCCGATGGCGTGATCCGTCAGCGTGTGCAGGACGCGGAACATTCCTCCGTTCACCTGCAGAGCCGTCACGCTCAGAGAGGCTCCGCCCAGTTTCCACACCAGGACGTGACTGAGGACAGAGAACAGGTCATGTGACAGCTGCTGTCCATGTCTAACCGATGACATCATAGCGTGCCTCAACACTGACCCCACCCCCCCAGTGATACAAACACAACAGAATGAGTGTGTGTGATTAAAGGCTGAATGAGTGATCTCCCATCATGCATTGCTTCAGTCTAATAATAAATGACCTCTAACCTCTTCCCTGATGGGGATTCTTGACCCACGCCGTAAGCCAGCAGAGCCGCCGCCGGCTCGTGGATCAGACGCAGAACACGAAACCCTGCAGCCTCCGCCGCCTCCCTGAGAAACACACACACACACACGTTTTAGGTTTTACACACACAGACAAAAACACACACATCACAATAACTGAACACACACACAGTCACATGACAGACCTCAGAGCGCTCTTCTGAGCATGTGCAAACTCAAAAGGGACGGTGATGACGGCCTCTGTGACATCAGAGCCGACAGCTGACTGAGCCGTTTCTGTAAACGACAAACGAACAAACAACATGAACAACAATACACACAATTTCTCACTTCCTGTTTAACTCTGTGTGTGTGTGTGTGTGTGTGTGTGTGTGTGAGTGTGCGTGCGGTCACCCTTCATCTTGATGAAGATTAGTTTGGCGACCTCTCGTGGCGAGATGAAGGTCGTCTGATCTCCCGTTGCGATTTCATAACAGAGCATCTGATCCCGACTCACCACCTGAACCACAGAGACCAGTTAACTCCGGACCAGAACAGAAACCAGAACCAGAACCAGAATGAGTGTTTATGATTTAAAGAGTCACCTGACACTTGGTCTCTGATCTGTGAGTTTGAGTCTCTGAATCATCGAAGCTGCAAAGACAGACACACACAAACACACACAGTCAAGTAACTGTAAAGCCGCGTTCAGACCAGCCGCGACCTGACGCGACTTGGCGACCGCCGGCTGCCTGCGACGCGACCTGACGCGACCTAGCGACCGGTTGCCAAGGCGCGTCCCCGAGGTCGCGTCGCCGAGGTCGCAGGACGCCAAGTCGCGTCGCGCCCAAAGTTCAAATATTTGAACTTTGGGAGCGACTCCGTGCCGCGACAGCCAATCAGGGCTCTGCTGACGTCAACAAACCGGCGAAACAAGGAAGAGGAGAAGAAGAATCACAATGGAGGAGCAGTTAATCACATCCGTTAGCTACCACCCGGTGCTATACGACGTGGGTTGCGGGCTGTACCGGGACCGCAACGCCAAAGAAGAAGCATCTCAGTTTCGGAGCGCCTGTATTTCGTGTCCAGGCGGGAGATGCTGCTTCCCACCTGGGCGAGGAGGTCCTCGAACTGCGCCGTCGACACACGGAAGTACCACTGGAAGCGGCCGTCGTCCAGGCGGAGTTCCTGGAGCAAGTGGTGAAATTCACCCAGCTCCGTCCTCCTCCGGATGGTTTCATGCACCCATAAACGCCGGTGGCGTCTACTGCGGATGTACAGATATGCGGCGGCACTGATGAAATGAAAACTGAGCTAGTGACATGGATGACGTCACCGGCGACCAGCCGCGACCTGCGACTGCAGCTTTGGATCCGGTGTTGACACACCAGGGCACCACGCGACGCGACCTGACCGACCAACGCGACGCGACGCGACGCGACGCGACCTGCTCGCGTTTGGTCTGAACGCGGCTTAAGGGTTACATGAGCATTACATGTGCACACACACACACACACACACACACACACACACACACACACACACCTCCTGCCCAGGACTTGTTTCACTTTAATCACGGTGTTTGCAGCGTTTCTGGCTCGTCCTTGTTTTGCTGCAATACCGACAATCTGCAGAAGAAAAAACACAAAATACATGAAATCAGCCGGACTGAAAACAAACATAAAACTGAATCAAACAAATCAAATATACAATGAATAGATCAATAAGTACAAAAGAGACATTTATCAGACAAATGGATCAATAATCATCATGAGTGTGTTTGTATTAAACAGATAAACAGAGAGATGAATGTTGTCGACCGCTTGCTTCTCTAGTTCTACCAACTTTAGTAACGACCGCAGGATAGCAATACAGAGAGCCACGCCCTCAACCAAAACTCCACTCTATAGCCACAAATAATGCTCAGAACAGCACCTAACTTCATCAACAGGACATATAGGGTCACAGACATAGTACTAGACACCAAACATCTTTTTAACTTTGACTCATTTCTTTAACAAAGAGACTAAACACAACTCACCTACTCTCTTCCAGCAGACGCTTGTTGGACTACAGCGGGGTGTCGCAGCTCAAGGAAGAACATTTATGATCATTTCTTTATCATTTCCTTGAAGTCATAATCACCATATTAATCATTTTACAGACGCGGTAGTTCTTCTGTCTTAGCGTCTCGGTCTGATTGTATTTCCATGAAGAAGTGGCGTTTTGGTTGAGGTTTGTTTATGGCTCCTCAGATCGCTCTGTATTTCTATCCTGCGGTCGTTACTAAAGTTGGTATAACTAGAGAAGCAAGCGGTCGGCAACATTCATCTCTGGAGGGGGGGGTCTAACTCGGTGTTACGGTGTGTTTGACCCTAAATTAATTTTACAGCAGAATATCCCTTTAATGATCCCCCCCCAACACACACTCACAGCGCATGTATTACCTGTTCAGAGTCTCTGTAGGCCACCACAGCTGGAGTCACTCTGTCCCCTGCATCGTTGGCTACAACATCTGCACGTCCATCCTACACACACACACACACACACACACACATAAGAGGATAGAGGAAAGCAAGTGTTTGTAAAAGCAGAGACGCTGTAGAGATCCAGACCATCAGGAGACCTGTCTTTGGTCAGTCTTAATTAAATTCAGGTCTTTCAGTCTCTGACAGTTTTACCTGCAGACTGAATCAGACTGTGACATCAAGAAGTCAGTCTGGGTTCAATCTGAGAAATCACAGCTGGAGTCCTAAAAAGTGTTATCCTCATTCATCAACCAGAAATAATATTATATTCTTCTTTATTCAAGCTCAGATGTCAGGTTTAGAGCTGGTTTTAGGATTAAATTAATCAAGTAAACCTCGTGATTAATAATCGATATGATAGATCCAGTAAATTTAAGAAGAGATTAAATTATTGAGATAAATAAAATAACATGGGTGTGTATAGGAGCTGAGATCAGTTCATTGATTGGCTGTTTCTCTCTTTTAAAATCATCTTTATCGATTAAAATCAAAGTTCTCGCTCAGCAGGAGGAAAATCCTCGTTTTTAATAAGCTCTATGTTCACTTTAAAAAGATGTTCAGGGGCTGACTCACCTTAAAAACCGCCACACAGGCGCAGGTATAACCGAAGTGAACACCGATGGCCGCCATGCTGCTCAAACGCCGCACAGGAGGACCTGGAGCGCATGCGCGTACTTTTCGGCTTCCGATAGTGACTTCCGGTGCTTTTCGCAACAAAAGTCCAACAGAAAAGCTCTGTTTTATTGTGAAATACTTTGTTCGACCGTGAATTACTCAGGCTGTGTCTCATTTCAGAGACCGCATCGAGCTAAGTGCACTTCTGCACCGTCGAACGGTGCATTTGAAACCTGTAAACCAAACATTATAGATTTAGAGACGAACTCAGGCCACCGTAGATCCGCTCTGCTTCAACTATCAAAAACATTAGAAATAAGAAAGCTGACAAAACTACAGCAGAGGATCAGGACAACATTGAGTTTTTTTTTGCTTTTAAGATTTAGGGATTAAAGTTGTAAATTTAGGAGAATAAAGTCATAAAGTAAATAAAGTCATAAAGCTGCTTTTGTGGAGGGGGAAATGACTGAAGCTGGTCATCTGCAGGGTTATCTGTGGATGTATCAGCGGGTCATTTAGAGAGATTTTGTGGTTTCTGAAGAAACAATCAAACTGATGATGATCAACATTTGTGATCCAGAGGGAGTCGAGCTCCGACGAGCACCACGTCTCTGACACCGGCGGTAACCTACACCTGCAGAGACACAAACACCTTATTATGGCATATGGATTCATATCATAAACTAAAGCTCAATGTCATTCACGGATATTTACGGCTGCATTGACAGATATATCCTCAGCATATTCATTTCTGCCTCCACAAAAGCAGCGATTTCCTACAAGTACACCATTTTTTTTCCCCGTGGAAAAGACGTATTTCTCATATATTCTTTTTTAAGTCTTTATACTTATGACAATGTGATGCTGATGCTGAAAAAAACATGATTGTCTTGTGTGTCCACATGGCTCACGGGATAAGGAGACTGACTGGGACTCCTGAGGTGGTGTGTTTGAGCCTTTTTTGGGACAAGGTGAATGTTGAAGTCTAGTGTCTAGACAGTAAAGTGAAAGAGGAAACAAATGGTATAATCCTGTGTGTCCAAGTGGCTCAGGGGATAAGAACACTGACTGTGACTCCTGAGGTCACAGGTTCAAGTCTTACCTTGCCCACTTCTTGGTGAATTTTGAAGGTCTAGAGTCCAAAAAGTACAGTGATATATGAAAAAAAAACACATTTCTCTTGTGTGTCCACATGGCTCACGGGATAAGGAGACTGACTGGGACTCCTGAGGTGGTGTGTTCGAGCCTTTTTTGGGACAAGGTGAATGTTGAAGTCTAGTGTCTAAACAAGAAAGTGAAAGAGGAAACAAATGGTATAATCCTGTGTGTCCAAGTGGCTCAGGGGATAAGAACACTGACTGGAACTCCAGAGGTCACAGGTTCAAGTCTTACCTTACCTAGTTTTTGGTGAATTTTGAAGTTTCTAGAGTCTAAAAAGTACAGTGATATATGAAAAGAAAAACACATTTCTCTTGTGTGTCCACATGTCTCACAGGATAAGGAGACTGACTGGTACTCCTGAGGTGGTGTGTTCGAGCCTTTTTTGGGACAAGGTGAATTTTGAAGTCTAGTGTCTAGACAAGAAATTGAAAGAGGAAACAAATGGTATAATCCTGTGTGTCCAAGTGGCTCAGGGGATAAGAACACTGACTGGAACTCCTGAGGTCATAGGTTCGAGTCTTACCTTGCCCACTTCTTGGTGAATTTTGAAGGTCTAGAGTCTAAAAAGTACAGTGATATATAAAAAAAAACATAATTGTCTTGTGTGTCCACATGGCTCACGGGATAAGGAGACTGACTGGTACTCCTGAGGTGGAGTGTTCCAGCCTTTTTTGGGACAAGGTGAATTTTGAAGTCTAGTGTCTAGACAAGAAATTGAAAGAGGAAACAAATGGTATAATCCTGTGTGTCCAAGTGGCTCAGGGGATAAGAACACTGACTGGGACTCCTGAGGTCACAGGTTCAAGTCTTACCTTGCCCACTTCTTGGTGAATTTTGAAGGTCTAGAGTCTAAAAAGTACAGTGATATATGAAAAAAAAAACACATTTCTCTTGTGTGTCCACATGTCTCACGGGATAAGGAGACTGACTGGGACTCCTGAGGTGGTGTGTTCGAGCCTTTTTTGGGACAAGGTGAATTTTGAAGTCTAGTGTCATAGGTTCGAGTCCAACCTTGCCCACTTCTATTTTGAAGGTCTAGAGTCTACAAAGTACAGTGATTTATGAAAAAAAAACATGATTGTCTCGTGTGTCCACATGAGTCAGTGGGTTCAATCCTTATTGTGGTTACGCCCTCTGCTCAGGCATTGGTCATCGGCCGCGCCTGAGCAGAGGGACTACGGCGGACGGCCGGGGGCTGAGCAGAGGGCGTCCTACAATAAGTAATAATGGCGGACCGGGAAAGAGTCCAATACGGACCCGAGCCTACCGCAGAAAAATGTATGTTTTTTTTCCCTCATGTAGGCCTGCACGATATAAGTGTGTGCGATAGTCACACCGCAGAGCCTGCGATGTTGGAGGTGAATGAACTCAGTGAATTTCAAGGGTAGCTGACTGAGACACACTGCATGTGACTCTGCATGTGCTTTGCAGCGATCCACCAATCACCTTTGTCCTTTACTCAGTTGCCAATCAGACTCAGTTCTCATTTGCCAATCAGACTACCCTGCCAGCTGTCAATCAAAATCAGAGAGGAGGAAACCCACCCCTGCACATGTTCTGCACATGGAGTGAGACCCGTGTCCGCTGAGAATTACTTTGGGAACTTTACTGACTGTTAAGCCCAAGAAATAAGAACAGTATATGTATATAAATGTATTTTTCCGTGGACCACTCTACTATAAGCGGTGCGCGTTTTGCGAGGCGCATCCTCTCTGTACTTTGTTTTTGTCTTAATTTATCATATTCTGACTTTTATTTTTGATTATTATTTCTGTTTTTTCTGCTGGTAACTCTTGTGTCACCTTGTTGGCCAGTAGGGTGAAAAGTACGCCACTTTTTTTTACCAAAACACTTATTTTTAGAGAGTGAAATCACTTTTGGTGAGGAAGTTTAATTTGACAAATATTTTTAATTTTCTTTTTCAATTTTTTTACGAGGTCGAAAATGCACCGTGGACAGATTTACTACACTTTGGTTGTTGTGGCTGTTTTTGGCCATTGACTTTAGCTGCTGTAAAAAAATAACAGATACATTTTTTTAAATCTCTTCATCAGGCTCAGTCCTTATCATAACAGTTATTATTATTATTATTATTATTATTATTATTATTATTATTATTATTATTATTATTATTGTTGTTGTTGTTGTTCTTTCATTATGAATTTTAACCCTTAAATGTCAAATTCAGAGGTGATGTCATTGATTTGGGTAAAAATCACATTATATGATGAATTTTTAAAATGCAGTGTCATGGCTGTGAATTCATAATACGTGGTTATTAAGGCAGTCAATGGGGAGTAAAACTTAAAATCTGATGCTGCGCAAAAAATAATAATGCACCGAAGTCAGTGATGGTACTAATTTTTGACTTATCCAACAGCGTGATAGCACGCAAAAAAATCTCCGGCCTCTGAACTTTTTTAAAAATGAAAATCAGTCATTTTGTGTTTTTTTTTTTTCCTCAAATCAGTGACATCACCTCTGAAATTGGCATTTAAACGGTTAAAATCAATATCTATTTTTAAAAATTTAATATTTTTTTATCTGGACTGAGCTTGATGAAGAGATCTGAGAAAAAAAAGTTCTAAAAATATCTCTCTGATATGTTTTTACAGCAGCTAAAGTTAGTGGACAAAAACAGCCAGAAGAGGACGAAAGGGTGTAAAATTTGAAGAGTTAATGTTTGTATTTTCAAGAATAAATGTGATGACTGAATTTTCCTGATATGCACGTCAGTCTACAGGAAACACCCCCCCCCCCCCCCACACACACACACACACTAACCTAATTATAACACAAGGACCCCCCTGACACCCCTCCCCACAAAAACCTGAGACCCCAAAACTTGAAGTCTAAAAACAGCAGCAGTTGGAAAGATGGCGGTGTTTGTTCTCGTCAGTCTGCTGCTGGTCAGAGGACTTCCTGTTTCTGCGGACAGCTGTGAAGGTCTGAACGCCTCAAACACCTTATTAATACTGATTATTGATCTGTTAATATAATCAGAATACTTTATTATTGGCACCCTCAGGGATGAAGACACGTATCTCTAATTATGAGAGGCTGACGTGCAGGTTGAGCTGTGACTGATTGGTTTTTGCAGGAATCCTTTAGAGTAAAAGTCTTTATGTTATCTGAATAAACATTTATTTTAGTTTATTTAATGTATTTTCCTCTGAAATAAAAACAGTCTACTTTGAGAAGTCTGTGTGTGTGATGAAGCTGCTCCTGTACCACCTGTAGAGAGGACACAGAGGAAAGATTACAGGAACTTTAATGTTGTTTTATTTTTAGTTTATTTTAAATCTGGTGTTTCAGAAACATGTTTCTCGATTCTTTGTGTGTGTGTGTGTGTGTGTGTGTGTGCGTGTAGTGTGTGTTGGTTTCCTTCACAGGTTGTACTCCACCCTGACCTCCTCTCACAGAGATCTCACTCCACAGCTGGTGGAGGATCAGCTGATTCAAACCTGTTCACAGAGTCAAGGCAAAGAGGCCCGGCTGGTGAGACACACACACACACACACACACACACACACACACACACACACACACACACACACACACACAGCATCTTTTTTGTGGCGTATAAACAAAAAATCTTTAAATATCAGTCAATAGTTATTAGTTATTGATGACACTTGGTAATATATCGATATCTCTGTGTTCTCTTATGTCTGTGTCGTCAACATTTGAACATTTTTGAGCGGTCCGCTCTTTCTGACTGTAAACAAAGCCGTTCTCCACCTCCTCTAACCTGATTGGTTGTGAGGCAGACGCTGCTCCCCCGTGTCGTTCAGGAGCCCAAACAAAGTTAGCGTGCTACAATATCGGACAGTAGAAACCAACCAGAAAGTTCGGAAAATTGTCTGAATCCTCCTTTGGCCACGACTGCCGACACAAGCAAGAAAACAAAGTAAATACCGGAGACTCTGGAGGAATAACGGGCGCTTAAAACGGAGGTAGACCGGACAAGAGCTAAAAAGCCGGGTCAACATAAACGATGGGGGGCGTCTGTTTGTGGGCGGGGCTTGAAGGGAGGGGAGGAGCTGAGGGGAAAACTGGTTGTGAGGGGTAGAGTTTACATTCAAGATTTCTCCTAAAAACTGGAACGTCCTCATAGAGCTGATATTATAAACTGTCTCATTCACTGTCACGGTTTGTGCCACATGCTGAGATCAATAAGAGAATCAATAACCACAGAGATATGTGACGATGATCTATCAGAGCAGCTCTAACTCGGTTTAACCAGTTTAACTAGTTTACCCAGTTACTGATGATCTGAGTCTCTGGATCAGAGCGAGGAGCTCATTAAACACAGTTAGAGTCTTTATTTACTGTGAGCGAGAGTGTGTCCTCACAAGTGTGTGTGTGCGTGTGTGTGTGTGTGTGTGTGTGTGCAGTGTTATTATCTCGGAGCCAGCAGTGATGCAGCGTCCCGGGTCACGGCGTCAGTGTCTCGTCCTCTCGCCTCTCATGTTCCTGTCCAGAAAATTTGCCAACGACTGAACAGCAGAGACACACAGATCTGTCAGCTGACGTACGGTGAGCGCGCGCACACACACACACACACATGCATGAATTTTTAATCATCATCATACTGACTTCTCTCTGAGCTGAGTCTGATCAGCTGAAGTGTTTCTGTGGTTATTACTTGTCGTTTGTTTACAGAGCGCAGTCTGAAGGACCTCAGCAGTGAGGGTCTGAGGAGTCTGAGGGTCTCCGAGCTGAAGGGGATCTTGACGTCGTGGGGGGAGGAGTGTCGGGGCTGTTTAGAGAAACACGAGTTTGTGAGTTTAATTCAGGAGAAAGCTGCTCTGCACACACACACCACAGAGCTTTAAAGCCCTTCACACACACACACACACACACACACACACACACACACACACACACACACACACACACACACACACACACACACACACACACACACACAGCAGATTTTAAACTCAGCTTTTTATTTAAAATCACATTTTTTATTTTGACATAAAACATAAAACATTCAATAAACTATTTTCCACCACAATCCATGTGGATCCACGATTGTTATATTTACCTGATGGGCCGTATTGATCTGTGTTTATAAAGTCTATAAACATTCAGTCACATTATTGTCATTGTTTATATAGACGTTTAAATTCACTCTGATTGATCATCATCATTAGTGATCTGTCAGTTTTGTATGATCTCTGCTGTTGTTTTTAGACTCACTCTTTTAACTGTCCAAACTGAAGAAAATCTGATGATCATGAATTAAAGTCGGTTTAACAGTAAAAACCTGTTCAAGTTTGTTTTCCTCCAGTTCAGTGTGTCTTCATGTCCATCTTCTCACTGTTCTTCTTTGGAGTTCACCTGTTCGTCTATATATTCTCTGTACTGATACATGTTTGAAGTTATTCTGAGTCTGTGTTCATCAACAACATCTCAACATTTTAGGATGATTTATTTTTTATTCAGTTAAAGTTCAACAGTCACCAATAATTCATCCAATAAAAATGTTTAAAATATCAAAAGTATTTACAAGAGTTTACACTTACAACAATCACACACACAAAAAAGATCTATTAAGGAAATACATTTACATTTCATTAAAACAACTTCATCCAGTGGCTTTTATTTTGAAAAGAAAGCTGACTTTCAGGTTTCTCTTTCTGAGAGGCTAACTCACAAATTAACTCTTTAATTTCCGTTTCTGTCTGATCACTAACTGGTGAATTAACTCTTTATTTTCTGTTTCTGAGAGCTCTTACTCATGGATTAACTCTTTAATTTCCATTTCTGTCTGATCACTAACTGGTGAATTAACTCTTTATTTTCTGTTTCTGAGAGCTCTTACTCATGGATTAACTCTTTAATTTCCATTTCTGTCTGATCACTAACTGGTGAATTAACTCTTGAACTTTAAAGAATCAAAACCACGTCTGAAAATGTCCAGCAGAGGTTCTGTTAAAAAGAAGGGAAGAACACTTGAAAAATAAAATCTGAACATCAGTCCGTCACAGAGAAACATCTGGAACGTTCTTCAGGTCTCCTCCGGCTCCTGTGGGCGGATAACAGAAAACAGGTGTGTCACCAGATAAATACAGGACTCTGAATTTAAAGGAAACATGCTAGAAACATACAGATGACATACTAAGAACATACAGAAAACATATTGACCCTAATGGGACAAAACATACGAACATCACACAGATAAAACAGAAGTGAACAAAGGGAGGACATACAACGTTTATAACATACTATAAAGAAAATGTTAACAGTTAACGAGAAGATCAGAAAATCAGGTCATTAGAGGATAATGTAAAAAAGACTCTGAAAACATACTAGACATACCTGAGATACCGCCAACACCAAGAGGCTAAACTGAGTGATCAGGTTCTGCAAAGACAAAAACAAACATGATCAGAAGAGTTCTGAGGAGCCGAGAACAAAAAATAAAATACTAAAATAGGATTTAAATAGAAAGATCGTGTTACTGTAGAGAACTAGGTTTACAGTAAAGACAGAGTTTTTACAATAAATATGTCTGAAAGGAGAAAAACACATTTACTGTATGAATTATGTCTAAACAAGTGTACAATGCTATTAATTATGTAAATTATATTGTTTACAGTGTAAATCATGTTTACAGTGTAAAAACTGTTTACAGTGTAAATATTATTGTTTACAGTCAGAACAATGCTGCTTTTAGTGTAAATAATACTGTGTAAATAATGTTGTTTACAGTGTAAAAATTGTTTACAATGTAAATCCAGTTGTTTACAGTCTGAAAAATTCTGCTTTTAGTGTCAATAAAGCTGCGTACTGTGTTAAAATGTTGTTTAAAGTGTAAACAATGCTTTTTACAACGTAAAAAAAACATTTACAGTGTAAATAATATTGTTTACAGTGTGAGTAATGCTGCTTTTATTGTAAATAATACTGTGTTCTGTTAATAAAGCTGTGTATAGTGTATTAGAGGTTCATACCCCACTCGTATTTCGTGGTCTTGCCGTTGTAGGTGACTCTGCAGGCGAACCTCTCTCCTTTCTGGGGGACGAAGTCTGCATGTTTCGTCAGGTAGTAATTCCAATCTCCATCAAAGGCCAGGTCGGTCTGAGTGGCTCCCTCGATCACCTTACCGTCCTTCATCAGGTCAATAGTGATCTTAGGTGGAGGTGAGATTCTGCTGACGTGACAGATCAGGACATTTTTCTGTCCCAGAGCACCCAGATTTCGACTGTAGATGTTTACCTGAGGAGCTGACGGAGGAACAGGACAGAACAGATCATTATTATCACACCTATTCTGTTATACTTCCTCTTAAATACCAATAAAAATATATAATAAAGGGGTAGGACTAGATACGTTTTATCAACTTAATCCTACACTCTTTCGAACAAAGTATGATTATCCATGTTGCTACAGAGCTGTCTCGAAATGTTTTTCTGCCAAAGCACACTGTATATTGTATTTATTTTGTTTTTCTTTTAACCTGTTCAAATAAACAAATAAACTCTAATAACAACAAAAATGAGAATGCTGATGTGATTGGTCAGATTTTCAAATCATTCCTTCTTTCCAAAGTCTAAAAATTTTTGATTGTTTTTATTTACCCGGGTAAGTCCCACTGAGATCAGAGATCTCTCTTTTTTTTAAGGAAGATCTCACCAAGAAAGGAAGCAACACAGTCCCAACAACACGTGATCACACAGGTTTAACCACACTTTTAAATTTATTAAAATTTTAACTTTATCATAATTTATATAATAATTTGAACTATATAATAATAATAATTATAATAATAATAAAATAAAAATAAAATGATAAAATGCTAACAATAATTAAAAATAATAAACAATAATAATAATAATAGAATATAATAAAAAAAACAATAGTAAAATAGTATTGATAATAATAATAATACATAATAACAATAATAATAAAATAAAAATAATAATAAATAATGATATGAAGGTGATGGTCGTCTAAAATAATTGATCTGTGACAGAGGTTGTCAGATGAAAACACTCTTTAATAATGCCTGATTTCGCCTGATCCCTGGACTTACCTGCTGATTACAGGTGTTTTCACAGTTTGTTCATTAACTCACAGGTTCAATAAATCTTTATTATACTGTTCGATGTTATCATCAAAGTTATATAAAGTTCAACTGCCGAACAGGAAGTGAGGCCCGACAGGTCAGAGGGTACAAAACTACACAAACTTATGAAAATAAAAACATTAACCTGATTAAATTTCGGATTCGTGTCTTAGTTTTTCCTCTTAAACATAAAGCTGACATAATCGCCAACATTAAAACTAACTTTCGGTCCCACTCTGACTCGGTTCACTCGGCAGCCATTTCACGGACTCTCCGTCAGTGACGCAGCGCCATTTCTGAAGAACGAAGGACCGTGAAGTACTCACCTCCGTCGGACAGTGAACGCACCGTGTGACAGAGCACACACAGGAACACAGCGAAGATTAAAGTCTTCATGGCTCCTCTTCACTCACACTCTCTCTCTCTCTGTTCGACGTTACCCTCAGAATTCACACCGAGACCCCGACTCACCGCCGCCCGTCCGAACCGAAACTAAAAGATCCAGAGCTCCGAGGGTTGTTTGTGTCTGCGGGGCGGGCCGCCGGGGCGGTGTCAAAACTGAAGGGCCAACCAGAGAGCAGAGATCTCTCCTCAAACCCCGTCCAAAGCGGAGACAACGTAACGAATTTCATTTTACCCAATAGGAAAAAAACATCTGCTGTTGTCAGGTAGAACTGAGTTCGACATGTTTGTCTGAAATACACGAGTCAGTTTATTTCACAACAATTCAGTTTAATGTAATTTAGTTCAGTCTCATTTTATTACATTTAGTTTATTTCAGTTTAATTAAATTCAGATAAATTCAGTAAAATTGAGTTTAATTTAGATTAATTCAGATTTAATTCAGTTCAAATCAGTTACAGTTGGTTTAATTGAAATAAATTCATATCAATTCAGCTAAATATATTTAGTTCAGTTAAATTTAGATGAAAACAGTTTAATTCAGATTAATTCAGTTTAATGTAATTTAATTCAGATAAATTCAGTGAAATTTAGTTTAATTCAGATGAATTCAGTTTAATTTAATTTAGTTTACTTTAATTCAGTTCAAATCAGTTAGTTTGTTTAATTTAAATAAATTCATATTAATTCAGCTGAATATATATATAGAGCAGTTAAATTTAGATGAATACAGTTCAATTCAGATTAATTCAGTTTAATGTAATTTAGTTCAGTTCAATTTAGTTTGATTCAGATCAATTCAGTTTAATTTAATCTAGTTCAGTTTAATTTAGTTAAATTGACTTAAATTCATTAAGTCAGTTTAAGTCATATTTATTCACTTTAATACAATTTAGTTCAGTTTATTTCAATTTAATTCAGATAATTCAGTGAAATCCAGATTAATTCAATTCAGTTCAGTTTTATTTAGTTTAATTAAATTAAATTTAGAATTATTCTGTTAAATTCAGTTCAATCTAGATGAATTCAGTTAAAGTTAATTTTGTTCACATTGTTTAAGTTTTGTTCAGTTTAATAATATCAGTTCAGTTCTGTTTAAAGACCTTCATTAACATGTAAACCTACTTTTAACGTGCCACAGTAAGTAAACAAACAAATGAAAGCATCAGAATAAAAAAAAGACAAACATTTAAACATTTCTCTTTCTAATTAGCTGTAAACTTCTTCACTTCAATCATATTTCCTTTCCCTCCATTATTATAGCACCTCTAACAGCATCAGCTAATTTTCGTGGGCCTGGGGTTCGACATACAAACATATACAACTGTGCAATCTGATAATAAACTGCTCAAAACTTCAATTATATAGAAGTACATTACTGATACTACATGTTGTTTTTAAACAACAGAGTGAATTACTCTGTTCTACTGTGACAGTCCATAAAAAATTAAAATGACTCTGAGCCGTGTGAATTCAAAAGTTAAAACCGTCCTTCCTGATCCTGTCTGTAGATTTATTATTTTACCTGCTGCTCTGCCACAACAGTCTGAAACCAACACAGAGATGGAAGAGACAGAAAAAAAGACTTGATTCTGTTAAATTCAGGGTTTATTATTTTAGTGGGTAAAACTGTTACACAGTGAGAAAAGTGCAGGACAGCATGTCCAGTGTTTGTTTGGTTTGCAGTTTTACTAAAAGTCTAATTATTCACAAACATCCAGGAATCAGTGCAACAGAAATCAGACTTTCAGAAGTTCATTTGTTTTTTTTCCTTTTTGTTTAAATTCAGTTTGAGACTCAAAAAACTTCAGGAGGATTTTAATTCTGTAAAATATAAACTTCTGAACGATCTGAGTCTGTGCTGAATCAGGTGAATTACTGAATAAACATATCAGTTTAACTTTAATGACGATAACATTACAATATTAATTACAATACAGCGTTCTCATGATCCTAAAGTTACTGTTTGGAAGCAAAAGCAGGAGATAGTTTTAGTAGTTTTTTTATTAAATACAGAACATTAACAGAAACCCTGACATTAAAGTAGAAAAAGGCATCAAAGACTCAAACACGGGTTACCATATCCTGACCTGATCGGCTATAATCGATCAGATCAGTTACCAAAGAACACTCACCCGTTTCATATTGACACAAACCAAAATCAACAAAAATAATCAATAAACCCACAGTCTGCAGCCGATCAGCTGATGATCCATATGAACTCAAACTGATTAGAAACCTCTTCATCGCAGAGAGGAGACGAAGGAGGAGGAAGATGATGATGATGAAGGTTCAGAAAGAAACGCTGTTGATTGAAGATGCAGAAAAATGAAACCATCAGCTGATGGTGATGAAGACGAGGCCGAGGAGTTACATGTTGGGCTCTGTGGAGACAAAAACACAAACAGGTTCAGACTCAAACTGAATTATGATTTTAAGTTCAGACAAATTAAACACTTTATTCTCAGTACTGTAACCGTATATATCTGTATTCATTATTGTCTCTCTTTCTCTCTCCTGGTGGGTCTGATCTCACTGGAGGAAACTAAGTCTGATCTTTGCTCATAATTAAACAGACCTGTCAGGGTTCGACAGTGCGGCCGTTTCACTCACATTTGTGTATTCGTAAAATATATTTAGAGTCACATGTGCGCAGGTTTTAGGTTGGATATATTTTCCTGTAAATACGGCGGTGAAGTTGGTTTCAGGTTGGATATATTTTCCTGTAAATACGGCGGTGAAGTTAGTTTTAGGTTGGATATATTTTCCTGTAAATACGGCAGTGAAGTTAGTTTCAGGTTGGACATATTTTCCTGTAAATACGGCGGTGAAGTTAGTTTCAGGTTGGATATATTTTCCTGTAAATACGGCGGTGAAGTTAGTTTTAGGTTGGATATATTTTCCTGTAAATACGGTGGTGAAGTTAGTTTTAGGTTGGATATATTTTCCTGTAAATACGGTGGTGAAGTTAGTTTCAGGGTTGGATATATTTTCCTGTAAATACGGCGGTGAAGTTAGTTTTAGGTTGGATATATTTTCCTGTAAATACGGCAGTGAAGTTAGTTTCAGGTTGGACATATTTTCCTGTAAATACGGCGGTGAAGTTAGTTTCAGGTTGGATATATTTTCCTGTAAATACGGCGGTGAAGTTAGTTTTAGGTTGGATATATTTTCCTGTAAATACGGTGGTGAAGTTAGTTTTAGGTTGGATATATTTTCCTGTAAATACGGCGGTGAAGTTAGTTTCAGGTTGGATATATTTTCCTGTAAATACAGCGGTGAAGTTAGTTTTAGGTTGGATATATTTTCCTGTAAATACGGCGGTGAAGTTAGTTTTAGGTTGGATATATTTTCCTGTAAATACGGCGGTGAAGTTAGTTTTAGGTTGGATATATTTTCCTGTAAATACGGCGGTGAAGTTAGTTTCAGGTTGGATATCTGACGGACATTCTCTGAGGATCTACCGGTGTCTTCTCACTCTCCATAACCAGGAATAAGAACAGCAGCGCGGTTAAATCTACTCGACACCCTCACTGTCAACGTCGGTGTTGAATAAGGGACCGTCAATAAATTACCGGTTGATGTTCTTAGAAAAGGCTGTTTTCCTTCAATAGCTTCACTGTCATGTGACCAAAAGACCTAAAATTGATTTCAAATAATAGTACGAAGGTCGATCAATGAGACAAACATTATTTGATCAATTTTCATTGTTCCCCTAAAGTTCTTTGTGAGCTCCTTACTTTTTTAACTTAGGAGAACATGTGAAATAAGTTAGTGTCAAACCCTGTCTGTTCAGGTTATTTTATTTGTTGTGATACAGAGCTGTGGAGAAAAGTCTGGCTGACTCAAGTGTGTATTTAGGTGTGTATTCAGGTGTGTATTCAGGTGTGAACTGACCCCAGGCGTAGTCTTTGGTTTCGGTGTCGTGGATGACCCTGCAGATGAACTTCTCCCCACTGTTCGGTTTGAAGGCCACGCTCTTGGTCAGGTGGAAGTGCCAGTTCTGGTTGAAGGCGAGGTCGGTCTGATTGGCTTTTTCAAGCTCCACCCCATCCTTCTCCAGGACGATTTTCAGGTTGGGGGGGTAGAAGTTGCTCACATGACAGATCAGGGTGTTATCCTTCCCGAACTCACCAGGGTCCCGGCTGTACACCACGACCTTAGGAGCAGCTGGAGACACACAGAGCAGGAAGTTAAAAGGTGACCATCGTGTGAGAACACGGAGAGTTTACACTCTCTAATTTTCAGTTTTGCAGTCAGAGCAGAGCGGCGGCTGATTCTCAGTATAAAAGTCTCTGCTGTTTTTCTCTCTTTAACGCTCAGCGCTGCAAGGTGGTTTCCTACTTATTTTTAGAAACAGGCGTGTTTCAAAATTAACGACCGTCTCTGTTATAATTTGTGTCTGTTTTTCCTCAAACTGATATTAAACCTGCAGACGATCAAAATTAATGTAATGTGTAAAAACTCAGAGATCTAATTACTTTGACGACAACCCCGTCAGCTAAAATAACTCCTGTGGTCTGTTGCTGTTCTTCATATCCGCCTCGTCTTATTTCTAACATTTATTTAAAGTTGATTTTTTTAATGTGTGGATGATCCGCAGTGACTCACGATAAAGCTCTACATCAGCGGTGTAAAAACTCCACCTTAACAACTTGTGACGACCGAGCTTTCTCGGCTTTGGCTCCCAAACTGTGGAGCGAATCGAGATGAAAACCTCTCCGACTCTTTCTACTTTTAAATCACGTCTTCAAACTCATTTTAACTCCTTGGCTTTTAGCTCCAGTTGTGTGATCTCTTTTATGCTTTTTATTTCATTTTAAATATTTTTTACCTGCTTTTATTTATTTCCTCTTGATGTTTTCTGCCGTGTCTGTTCTTTTAATTTATTGTGGTAAACTTTAATGTTTTTAAAATGTTTTATATAAATAAAGCTGATTGGATAAAAGGCAGAGCTTCATCTCTTCAGGAGTTTTAGACCAAATCATCGATCCTGATCAAAACTAAATGATTTAAATACCGACAATAAAAGATATAAACACTATTTTAAATAGGAGACTAAAGTCATAAAATAACCCCTTATTTCCACAGTCAGCCCTGACCTCAGTACGGACTCTGTTCTCATGACTGTCTGCGGCCTGCAGGGGGCGTCATTACCTCACTGCTTATTTACAGGAAAACGAAAGTAAAGCAGTTTAGGGATTTTCCAAAGTCATCATCAAGATCAACCTTTTACATCAGCCTGTATTTATCTAATACATGTATGTTATTAATGATGAATATTACTGACCAGTTTAACTCATTAAAAGACATTTACACCAACATTTTAACAAACATCCGTTTCAGTTAAAACTGAATGTTTCCTTCAGACTGACGCACTTTATCTTTCAGTTTAACTAAACAGACCACAGTTTATCACATTTAAAACAATAATTTACTAATATTACTGATCAGAGTGAAATCTGACAGAAAGATGAGGTCTGAAGTAAAAATACAGTTTAGGTGAGGTCCTAAAATAACCCGTCCAAGAGTCAGAAAAATCATCATATTGTTATTTAAGTGTTATTGAATTAAGAAAAGATCATCAGAAAAGTTAGATTAAATTCATCGGTTTAATAAAACTGTATCTGAGGAGGACTCAGGCCTTACACCGACGGACGGTCAGCTCTCCAAGGCCGTAAAAACTTTAAAAAATGTGAAAAATGATGAAAATAAGCAGTAAAAATACTCACTGCGGCTCTGAAGAGCACTGCACACAGCGACGAGAGCGAACAGAGACAGAAGCAGCTTCATCTTGGACTCTTTAGTCTTCGTCTTTCCTTCACAGATAAATGTCGCGTTGTTCACCACGGAGGTTTTAGCGAAGAATAAAGTGAAAGCTTCCAACGACGACAATAATAACGAGCTCCAAACCAGCCCACCAACCAATCAGAATCCTCCTCTGACTGTTACCAGGCAGAATAGGGTGAGACAGGTTAGGCAGCCCGCGGAAACTCCCTGAAACTTTCTAGGTCAGGTGATTTCACCAACTTAAGAGACTTTACACAGTTACAGGTGAACACAGGTGAACGACTGAGTATTTTATCGATCCATCTACCTCTAAAATATACACCTTTGTTATTTTGATGTTAATCAGTTCATATTTAAAATAACCAATACAAGGAAAAATCTCAAACATGTGAATAAGAAGGAGGAGGAAGAAGAAAACTCTTATAGAGTCTGAACCTCTTTTATAAGATATTAATCAACTAAATACATAATAATAAAAATAAACAAGAACTTTTTACACTTCATTATTTCTTATTCTCTAAAACAAACAGAAAAGACCAGGTTAATTCACATTTTTACACAAAAACAAACAGACACAGACTTAAATGAAAATATTTCCCTGCATTTTCTCGACATACTGACTTTGACCCTTTTTTTTTAATGATTTAGTTTCTTTGTTCAGATTACTTACTCTTCTCTCTGTAACACAGCGCTCCTTCAGTTTAGTTCTCAATCTTTGCTTTTTAAATATTTCAAATCCTTTTAGATTATAATAAACTTTCTCTTTTTTCTAATCAGTAACATTTTCCTATGAGCTTTATACATAATCTGCAACAAACTGAAATCTACAAACGTAGTGAATCTCAACAAATAATAGTTTGAAGGATCTCTGTTTCGACTTCTGGATGGAAGTTTTACCTGCACTTCGCCACACTTCAACACAGCAGGTCAGATATGGATCAATAATCGAATTAAACAAGAGTACAAATCTTTATTACTGTCGAAGTATCTTTAACTTTGTTCAACATAACAATCGTCTCTGCTATTTTCACTTTCATTCCATTAATCTGTGATTTCCAGGTCAATTTATCATCAATAAAAACACCTAAACTTTTTATTTCATTTACTCGCTTAATTTCAACACTGAAGCGTCAATGTTTCTGCCTTTGTTACCCGATACATAAAGTTTGTGTTTTCAACATTTAAGGATAATTTATTTACATCAAACCAGCGTCTAATTTTTTAAATTTCTTTCCTTTTTCATCATCTGTAAAAATATCAGAGATGTGGGACGTTTGTGATTCAGATTAACGTTGTTCTTCTTCCTGCTTAATGTGATGATTTTCTGTTTTTAACTTTCCCAAAAAGAGAAAGAAAGTATTTTTATCTCGTAACCGAACAGAGAAGACAAACTTCCTCCTGTCCGATAAAAATAGAAACACTGAGGTGATGGAATAAAAAGAAACACCTCAGAGTAAATATCACATAAAGAAAGATGTTTAAAGAAACGTCTGAGCGAGAGTTTATTAAACTTAAAGACCACCGTTGAATCGTTATTCTGGAGAAACAAGAAACAAAGATTTTGAGATGGACACCATGAAATGAAAACTTTGAATTAAAGATTTTAAACAATAAACAAAGAGAGGCAGAATCATCATTAATACAAAGACTGAAAAAGGGAGAAATCAAAAGCTTGTATGACTGACGGCTGAAAATACTCTCACAGCAACAAAGACGGCTACTACAAAGAAATGGAGTAAGGACGACCCCCAAGAAATACACGATATGGAGATATTTATACACGCTTCACAGTACAGTGCAGTACATGCCACTGTTGTCCTCCCTCTTTTGCTGCTGAGATGTTTTGCGTGTATTTGTTGTCTGTCTGTTGCTGCTGTTGCTCTGTTTTTTTGTACACGACAAATGTAAAGACAAATTTCCACTTGTGGACAATAAACTAACTAACTAACTCACTAACTCACTCACTAACTTCACGGCTTCGGCGAGAATCAAACACCTGAAAGTGGAAAAATGGGACAAATATAAACCCGTTCAGAGCACATGAAGAGAGTGGACAAGGCTAACAGAGGCTACGTGGACTTCTCTTCTCTGACATAGACATATAAGCAGTAGATTGTCACTCATGTTAGATGAGATGAGCCAAATCCCATCTTAGTGATGATTCATCAAACAATGAGCGTGGTCTAGACCTGCTCTTTTGCTTTGGAAAGCATCTTCGGATGATGGCTGTTGTGAATTGGTGCGATATACCGTATTTTTCGCACCATCAATGGACGCGTCTATTTTCATACATGAGGTCCACTGGATTATAAAGCGCATTAAACCGAACAAAACAGTCACTAACTCTGCGAGGTTACTGTAGCTGCAGCGCTCCGACAAGACAAAAGGATTTTTAGTGCTCCTTATAGTGCGAAAAATACGGTAAATAAAATGTGATTGATTATAATTGTAACAAAAAAAAGCTAATTTTTAAAGTTAAAAAAAGAAACACCAACAATCTTATTTCATCACCTCAAAAATATATTTAATCGTTATAATAATATCACAGCTCTGCACAGAAAATAAGGAATATTCTGCATATTATCAAATACAGCCGGATTATCTGCAGCTCTATAATGTGTATATACAGTCTGTGTGTGTGTGTGTGTGTGTGCACTCTACAGCTCATCTCTCGTGTTCAACACTGAATCTAACAGCAGGTGTGTGTGTCAGGTGAGTTCCTCAGTCCGTGATCCTCAGGCCCCCTGCTGGACACTGAGGAGAGTGCACTTTCATGAACTAACCGCACCTCTCACTGACTTCCAAACGCACTCCTCACAGTAATGTGACCTTCCCCCACCTGTGAACTCCTCCCCCACCTGTAAACTCCTCCCCCACCGCAGCTCAGAGAGTGAACACGCCATCAGAGCTCACTCTTTTTGTCACTTTCTTCTTTGTTGGAAGCTCCGCCCTCTGTCCCGGAGGAAGGGGGAGGGCTGTCTTTAGGCTGGAAGGCCAGGGAGGCGGAGTTTATGCAGTAACGTTTTCCTGTTGGCCGAGGTCCATCGTCAAACAGGTGACCCAGGTGAGCTCCACACTGAACGAGAGAGAGAGAGAGAGAGAGATAGAGAGAAAGAGAGAGAGAGAGAGAGAGAGAGAGAGAGTGTTTAAGGCTGCAGACTCCATTTCCTTAGACGTCTTTTCAAATGTCAATGGAAGCAGAATTTGAAGGTTTGAAAATGATTTCAAGTCTGTATTAATTTCAAAACAACATGTAGAAACTGAAACATGTTAAATCTGATGATTGTGAAAGTTTGTAAAAGTTATAAAGGCTCAATTCATGCTGAAAAATATCTCCAAGTTTAGGACCAACATCTGCGTCCATCCAGACAAAGACTTTTTCAGGGAAGACCTTCAGATGGTCCAGAACCACATTCTGACAACAGCATGGCTCTGTAGGAGGAGAGTCCTGAACTGTCCCCCATTTACGTTCAATCACGTGATAACAAGTTGTCTCTCTAAAGACAGACACATAGACATATAAGCAGTAGATTGTGTCCTTCCAGAGGAGGAAATCTACTTCTAGACTTCTAGAATCAGCATCTCCTCATCCATGGTGTCATCGGGGTGAAATGACGTCTAAAAACCTTTCACTTGTTCGTCTCCGCCCGTTTGCATGGTGTGAAATACGATCCTCCTGAAACACGGAGTGTTTTATTCTGAAAAGAAGCCGGATGTTTTATTTTGTGTCTGTGCCCGACTTCCTTTCCAGCACGGGTTAATCTGTGCTGAATTTATCCGCCATGCTCCAGCGTCCAGAAAAAATCGAACTCTTGTGATCAGCTGAGGAGTCCGGCGATCCTCAGAGGAACGGAAAGAAGTCGGTGTAAATTGACACGTTAACTTGAATGGTTACGATCAGCTACGATCGGAGGATACGACCTTTTAGGAGACGATCAGGATGAAGGTGGAGATTGGAGTATGGCGTCAATTCGGTGCCAAAAATCCACGCGCATAAAAAAACATAGCGAGCATAAAAACAACTACCTCCGCGCTCGCCGTCACTGTCTGCGCGCTCGCAGTGTCTGTACACACGCGCACTTTCTCTCTCAGGGCCCTCTGCGCACTGGACTCGGTTGAATTTTGGCACTCCAGGGGTGGGCCACTCTGCACCTCCCCTCCACTCTGATTGGTCAATTGTGTGTGTCAATCTATCTATCTATCTATCTGTTTGTCTGTCTGTCTGCAAAGACTGGTATTGTGACAGAAGAGGCAGTGCTGAGGGTTTACATTACTACTCTGCATCCGATTGGCTCTGACCTGGCGTCAATCGGTTCTAAGTGACCAATCAGAGTGGAGGGGAGGTGCAGAGTGGCCCGCCCCCGGAGTGCCAAAAGTCAACTGAGTCGAGCGCGCAGAGGGCCCTGAGAGAGACAGCGCGTGTGTGTACAGACGCTGCGAACGCGCAGATAGTGACGGCGAGCGCGGAGGTAGGTGTTTTTATGCGCGCTGATATGTTTTTGATGCGTGTGGATATTTGGCACCGAATGGACGCCATATTGGGGGTAACACTCTTTTGGAGAGGACAACAGTTGTCCTCTCAACGAAGATCTGGCCGGAGGAAATTGACATGTTACCTTGAATGGTTACGATCAGCTATGATTGGAGGATACGACCTTTTTGTAGACGTTCTGGATACGATGGAAATTTGGGTTTATGGAGCTGGACCGTGTGATCATGTTTTAAGGTGGATTTGTTGGTTATCTGGCTGCAGGTGCGGTGTAGTTTCTACCTAATGTTTTAAGGTGGATTTGTTGGTTACCTGGCTGCAGGTGGTCTCGACTCGGTGCATGCCGTAGGAGAAATCGTCTGACGTCGACACGGACTCTTCCTTCAGGAGGTCGAAGAAGGACGGCCAACCTGAACACATGACGGCCTGACGTTAAAAACAGTGACAGCTGCAGGTGTTCAAATTCTGCTCAGGAGTTCGTAGTCCTCGCAGGAAACACCCAAGTCACTTCATTTAACCTCTGACCTTTAGCAGCATTATCAGGTCACCTCTTACTGGTGTCCAACGGTTTACAAAATAAAAACATCTCACCTGACCCAGAGTCAAACTTGCTGTTTGAGCTGGAACAGGAAACACAAACATCATCAGTGAACCTGTCGTCGTGTCTTTACGACATTATCTGTGACGTGATCTCACCTGAACAGAGGAGCTCCACACACCACACAGGTGTAGGTCCCCTCGTCTTTGTGGTCGGTGAGGTCACCTGTGAAGGCGCTGTGAACATCATGTGTTCATCAGTTAGAGTGTCAGGTATGAACCGGAGGAGAAGGAGCTCATTTATGTGGTAACGGGCGTTCTCACCTCTCAGTGCCTCTCTCCTGGGTCACATGGTACTGCATCGGCGTCAGGCGCTGCGTCAGCTCCTCCTTGGAGAAACTCACTGGCCATGTTTTCTTACACCTCCGAGCACCTGGAGGGGGGGAGGGGATGGAGGCGGAGCTTCAGTTCAGCCGTTTGTTTTAGAAACTCAGAAAAATACAAACTCGGCAAAAATCAAAATGAAGCACACTCAGTGATTTTAGTCTGAAGAAAGGAAAACAAACTCACTAAAGGTCAGCGGTGAGGCGCTACGATCACGGTTTATTCAACCATACTGGTCACTAACACTACGGTCCATCTCCTAACATGGATAATACAGTGTGTGTGTGTGTGCACGATGCCTTCAGGTTCCTCTGTGTACCTCGGTTATTTGTCGTTAGATGAAGTGGGTCAGGGCTGCAGTCGAAATTGTAAACTTTGTTTCCAGATGATGAATTCATGTTTAATTTTTAGTTTCGTTTTTTTTAATCGTTTGTTTGTTTTTCTGAGAAATTATTTTAATCGCTCTGTCGGTCCAAATTAAAGATAATCTGTTCAGATTATTCCCTATTTTCATGTTAAATAAAATCTAAAACTGAAGCAGTGAGAGAGCATGCAGGAAGCAGAAACAGGCAGTGAGTCAGTCTATCTGAGAGCTGAGCAGGTGAGGAGCTGCAGCTCACCTGGATCACCTGGATATTAGGGTTAGCATCTTAAAACACCTGTTCTTAACTGGGACTGGTTATGGTCAGGTCTGAACTGGGGGGTCTGTTTTTTTTTTACTTTTATTTTTTTACTATTTTGTGTGGTATATAGTGTACATGCCTGTATATTATCACTTCACTTTTTACTAATTTTTATATCTTATCTATTTATCTCTTTATTTTAACTTATTTTAACTGTGTATTTTTATTTATTTTATCTATTTATTTTTATTTATTTTATATATTTATCTGTTTATTTCTACTTAATTTAACTATTTATTTTCATTTATTTTATATATTTATCTCAACTTATTTTAACTATTTATTTTTATTTATTTTATCTATTCATTTTATTTATTTTATCTATTTATCTCTTTATTTTTACCTGTTTTAACTTATTGTATCTATTTATTTTAATTTATTTTATTTAGTTTCTCTTTATCATTACTCATTTTAACTTATTTTATCTATTTTGTTTTATTTATTTTATTTAGTTATCTCTTTATTTTTACTTATTTATCTATTTATGTCTTTATTTTTATTTATTTTACTTATTTTATCCAATATCTATCTCCTCTTTCTACTTTTTTTGCACTGGAGTTTCTATGACAAAAAGAAATTTTCCCCCCTGAGGATAATTAAAGTATTTCTGATTCTGTTTTTACTCTGGCAGTAAAGTTTACTTAAAAAACTGCAGAAAGGTTTTAAATCTGAAGCTTTAACTTCGTCTGACTCTAAACTAACGAAACACAAAAGATATTTCAGAAAAGAACAACAAACCCTCACAGCCCTGAGGTCAGAGGTCAGAGGTCAGCTCAGTTTGAAGCTCTATAGGCTTGAACATGTCTGACACGTCCGCTCCCTGAGAGCAGGATGAAAAAAAATCAGGTAAAAACAGGTAAAATCAGGTAAAATCAGCTAAAAACAGGTAAAATCAGGTTAAAAGAGTCTCACAGCAAAGGGTGGCGTTAAACCAGAGCAAACACACACACATGCTGTCAGCAGGTGTTAGACAGCAGCAGGTGTTAGAGAGCGGCAGGTGAGGTACAGGTGAGCAAAGAGCCAGCACACAGCCAGTCAGTCAGGAGGTCATGTGACCTGAGGGCAGGCTGCACGCCTTCAGAGCTACAGGTTGGCCTTTGGTTACGAGATGCAGCAGATTGAAACCCGACATGTCGGCCGGAGAACAGAACCTCACAGGACTACAGCCGGGACCAGAACCAGAACCAGAGCGGGCCAGGTCCAGAACCAAACAGCAAGAGGAGGAGAGACCGCAGAGAGACGGGGAGGGAAGTAAAAAAACAAAATACAGAGAGGTCAGAGGTTAAGGAGCTGAAGGGGCGGGGGAGGGGATACAACTGTGTGTGTGTGTGTGTGTGTGTGAGTGTGAGTATATGTGTGTGTCTCTTCTTTTTTGACTCATCACCCCCTCTCACACACACACACACACACACACACACACACACACACACAAACACACACACACACACACACAGTCAGGTGTTTATAAGAGAATTAGGGGCCTCTTTCAGCACAGGTGTGAAGCAGGTGTACCTGTTGGGGTCAAAGGTCAGTAAAGCTCGCAGAATGCTGACTCACTAAAATTTTAATGTGTTCATGTTTGACAGGTGTGCGTGAACCCGAAGGTGAAGGAGTGCTCAGAATGAAGGTAGTTTATGAAAACAAGTTTCTTGATAACTGATGATCGAATAAACGGGAAGTCTCATATAAATTAGGGCCCGACTGATTTTTTGGGGGCTGATGCGGATACCGATTATTAGAGGGGAAAAAAAATCTGATGACCGTTTAATCAGACAATTTAAAAAAAAATTTTATTAAGTTATAAAATATATTTATACTGTAGATATACTGTAGGCTACTGCTCTTAACGCCGACAGGAAGACCGACTGATCAAACTCGGACCAGAAAAGCGTTTTCGCCGATAAATCGGTCGGGCCCTAATGTAAAACATGTACAAAATAAAGTGTCAAGAAGCATTTCAGCCCTGAGCAAAACAAAAACACATTCTGGACCACAAATCAAAACTCCATATTCTCTCCTGTTCACTGATTTGACCATATTTACACGACTGTGCAGAAGTTTGGGAGAATACTTACAAATGTAGAATACAATCACTATCTATACTGCAGAAAAGAGACATGAGAATAATTCATGATAGAGATCAGACAAATTCACTCTTCTTAAAATCGAAAACATTAAAATTCACTGACCTGGTTCTCTTTCAAACAGCACAAATCATTTACAAAGAAATAAACAGTCTACTGCCTGGAAACATCCAAAAACTGTTTTTGAACAGAGCTGGGGGTTATCATCTGAGGGGGACTTTAACTTAAAGCATCAGTGGGACACGTACAATATTAAAACGTTTTTGTGTTTCTGTTTGTGGAGTAAGGTTGGGGATCAGATCAGGTGTGGAGCTCAGGCGTTGTCCAAGAGTGACCCGGTTTAAGAAGCGGAACAAGAACATGGTTTCTCACCAGGAACACGGAGGAAGAAGGACTTGAACTGTCAGGTGTTTTCATAAATGTTTAATGTATTTATTTACTCTATTTATGTTCTTTTTTTGTTAATATAATGTAAATATTCTGGAGACTGACTGATATTATTATTGAGTGGAGGAGGAGGAGTAGGTTTGAAAAAAGGCGTAATGTTTCATCCTTCTCCTTTTTGGACATGTTGGGCTCACATTATTATTATAAGTATTTTTTATTTTTATTTTATTTTTATTTGAATATTCTCACTGCTTTTGTTTGTTTGTTTTCAGAAACTTTCTTGTGTCGCCTGTTTGAAAAAAATAAGTAAATGAAAAAAAGAGAGGACCGTTCACTCATCACTCCATTTTAGAGAGCGTCTAACATTACTGCGTCTCCATGACAACCACTGAGCTCATCGGACCGAGGACAGGTAGGTGAGAGCGGGTCACAGGTGATCTCTGGATCAACCTGAGGACCAGGTGTAAACGCCCCCCTTTACAGGTGGACTGAGGTGTGTCACGTGACCCTACCTATGACAAAAGCAGGCTGAGCAGAGAGAGACGAGCCGCTGCCTCCGAGAGCGTGACGCAGAGAGAGGAAGAGCGCCCCCCGTCTGAAGAGGAAGGACATTACACACACAGACACGCACAGTCACACTGACACACACACACACACACACACACACTGTTTCTCTGCTCTGTTGAGTGTGTGGATGTGAGGCTGTAGTTCCTCAGTGAACCAGCAGGGGGCGGTGCTGCTGTGGTGTTTACAGTTTCAGGTGTGAATGTTTTACATGTTTACAGGTTAATATTTAAAAACATGTTAATGAGCATCTTTGAGTTTAAAACATCATTAAAATAATTAAACAGTCTAAAAACTTTTAAACATTTTAGAGTTTTAAACTGTTTAAAAGATAAACTCAGACTGAAACTGATCCTTGGTCCGCCATGTTGGCTCACAGCTGATTAAACAGCTGATTTCACCATCAGTCAGCTGATCATTAAAAACATTAAATCACAGATTTTAACACACTAATGATGAGTCTGTGTGTGTTTTTGTGTTGACCTCAGAAAACTCACGAACATTAACTCCGTCAGAACCTCAGATCGGTTTAATTTAACTCTCTTTTTTAAATACCCTTAAATGTGTGTGAAAGTGTGTATTTATGTTCGTCTTACCGGGGAGCAGCAGCAGCAGGAGCGCACAGACCGTCCCGGTGATCGTGGTCAGTTTTCTGGGATCAGGTCTAAACATGGACCGGATCATCTGCAGCCCTGAATGTTTCCAAGTAAGGTCCGACTGCTGCTCCTTTCCTCTTCCTCTGTGGTCTGACTGCAGGCTGAGCTCACCGTCACTGCCCCCTGCTGGACACTCTCAGCTTCTGCAGACTCAGAGCTATGTATAAGAATAAAAATAAATCAATAATAATAATAATAATAGAAAAAAATACTAATAATTAAATAAGTAAATAAATACTTAATACGAGCGTCATCACAGCTACTCTCCAGCCGAATGCGCACAACGCTACTGCGCAATGTTGGTTTCAGGAAGTGAAGAAAAAACGCAAAATTACTGAGAGCTTTTTGGCTTCAAATCCGTAAACTGGCGGAAGGCGGAACAAAGTATATACAGTTCATGTTTACACATTAAAAATGCTTCAGGACTGACCCCATAATCTCTAAAGAAACGCCTAAAAACTGACTTCAGCGCACACATCTGAAACATCTCCAACAGGATCAAAGTTACTCACCTTGATGAAAACGAACCACAGGAAACAGAGGGTTTTAAAAACTCCTAATAAACCTTTAATTTGAGCAGTTTGTACAATTGACAAATTACATTAAAACTTCTGTTTCTTCTTTTTAAATGTCTGTAGTTTTGTACACCTCCCCCCTCTGGCTTGCAGGACAGGGACTCCAAACAAACGACGCCATGAAAATAAAGCTGCTTAAAATATAACATGATACAGTTACAGTAATGTACAGTGTTTACAGAAAATACATCCCCGAAAAAATAAAGACATGAAACAAAGTGAGAAGAGCCGTCACATCGAAGAAACAACACCGACATCCAGCTGAGGTCATTCAGAGGGACTGAGACACTGCTGCTGCAGGAGGAGGGGCTTAAAAATGCAGAAGGAGGGGTCTAAGACTGCAGGAGGGGCCTAAAAATGCAGAAGGATGGGTCTAAGACTGCAGGAGGAGGGGCCTAACTCTGCAGGAGCAGGAGGGACCTAAGACTGCAGGAGGAGGGGCCTAACTCTGCAGGAGCAGGAGGGACTTAAGACTGCATGAGGGGCCTGAAACTGCAGGAGGAGGGGCCTAATACTACAGGAGGGGCCTTACACTGCAGGAGGAGGGGCCTAAGACTGCAGGAGGAGGGGCCTTACACTGCAGGAGGGACCTAAGACTGCAGAATGGGCCTAAAACTGCAGGAGGAGTAGCCTAACACTGCAGGAGGAGTAGCCTAACATTGCAGGAGGGGTCCAGGACTGCATGGGCGGGCATAACGCTGATTAAGGGACCTATGACTGCAGGAGCGGCCAAACACTGATAAAAGGGACCTAACATCTCAGGAGGGGCCTAATATTGCAGAGGGGATCTAACGCTGAAAAAGGGGCGTAACACTGCAGGAGGGCCCTAATGCTGCAGGAGGGGGCTTATACTGCAGGAGGGACTGAAGCTGAAAAAGGGGCATAACACTGCAGGAGGGACCCAAGGCTGCAGAAGGGGCCTAAAACTGCAGGAGGAGTGGCCTAACATTGCAGGAGGGGTCCAAGACTGCATGGGCGGGCATAACGCTGATTAAGGGACCTATGACTGCAGGAAGGGCATGATGCTGAAGAAAGTGCCTAACACTGCAGGAGTGGCCAAACACTGATAAAGGGACCTAACATCTCAGGAGGGGCCTAATATTGCAGAGGGGATCTAACGCTGAAAAAGGGGCGTAACACTGCAGGAGGGGGCTAATACTGCAGGAGGGACTGAAGCTGAAAAAGGGGCATAACACTGCAGGAGGGACCCAAGGCTGCAGGAGGGACCTAACACTAAAAAAGGGACCTATATCTGCAGTAGGTACCTAACAATAAAAAGGGGACCCAACACTTCAGGAGGAACCCAACACTGCAGTAAAGACCCTCCCTCTCACGCTGCCCCCTGCTGGACGTGCAGCAGCACTGACCTCAGTCCCCTTTACTTATTTTCTCTCCTAGGTTCTGTGTTCTGGTTCTGATGTAAACTGGGTCATCTGATGGGAAACGTAACAGGCCGACATAAACGGACATCATCAGGGCTGATTTATAAAAATAAGAATAATAAATAGAGAGAAGCATTTGGTTTAATATCAAAGGAAACTGCTACAAAATACCAAATTGAAGATTTCCACCTACTCCACTAGATCTAAGGGGGCATCAGCTGCCCTCTAAACTCCATCATCATCATCATCATCATCATCATCATCTCCATCCTGTTCCAGTGACGCAGTGCCAGACTGAAATCAGCACTCCTGTAAGGCACGGCGGGGTGTTCTGCTCCACCAGGGCGGAGGAGGAGCAGCAGTTTGAAATGTGCATCTTTGTACATTTTCACACTGCAAAAAAAAAAAAAACAACTGAGTCCAACTTTCATCCACTGCATTAAAAAAACAACGACTCTGTCTGCAGGAGCCAGAGTCCGTCTGAGACACACCTGTCCGTCCAGGTACACACACACACCTCAGTGAGGGGGCGGGGCCACAGATCAGCCCACATGACAGAGAGGTAAATATGAAAAATAATATAAAACAATATAAACGTGTAATATATACGAGTTATACCTGACAGGAACACACTCGCCCTCCGCTCTGTGTGTGTGTGTGTGTGTGTGTGTAAGTGTGTGTCTGTGTATCATAAAGCTTCTCTTGTCTGCGTCCGTCCTCCCCGACGAAAATAAAAATAATCAATAAATCAGAATTAAAGGAGCAGATCGGAGCTCACACAGACCGACATGCAGCTCATGAAGGGGGGGAGGGGGTGTTCCTGTGATGAAGCAGCAGACTGTGGGGAGGGGGCGGGATCATGAAGAGGAGGAGGAGGAGGAGGAAGAGGAGGCTCTGTGTTTGAGGAAGCTTCCTGTGTTGCTGCTCGGGGCGCTGAGGGGGCGGCTGGAGGCTTTCAGGGGGGTGCTGCAGTTCTGGGTCTGAGGGAAGCGCTGATGGTACCGGTCCAGACGCAGGTACTTCACCGTCACCAGCTTACCTGTCAAAATAAAAGCCCATTTATGTTTACAGATCAACTTTTCAAAATAAAAGCCCTTTTTGTTTACTGATCAACTTTTCAAAATAAAAGCCCTTTTTGTTTACTGATCAACTTTTCAAAATAAAAGCCCTTTTTGTTTACTGATCAACTTTTCAAAATAAAAGCCCTTTTTGTTTACTGATCAACTTTTCAATATAAAAGCCCTTTTTGTTTACTGATAAACTTTTCAAAATAAAAGCCCTTTTTGTTTACTGATCAACTTTTCAAAATAAAAGCCCTTTTTGTTTACTGATCAACTTTTCAAAATAAAAGCCCTTTATGTTAACAGATCACCTTTTCAAAATAAAAGCCCTTTTTGTTTACAGATCAACTTTTCAATATAAAAGCCCTTTTTGTCTACTGATCAACTTTTCAAAATAAAAGCCCTTTTTGTTTACTGATCAACTTTTCAAAATAAAAGCACTTAATGTTTACAGATCAACTTTTCAAAATAAAAGCAGACAGTTTGCAGACCATCTTTTCAAATTAAACGCCCTGTTTACAGACCTTTTCAAAATAAAAGCCCTTTATGTTAACAGATCACCTTTTCAAAATAAAAGCCTTTGCAGTTCACAGACTCTCCACACTGTTTCTCTATGATTTAAATGCGGAGTCCGCCCAGTGTTTCCTTTTCTCTTATTCGTGCGACATTCATTCGCACGCGAAATTCAGCTGCAGCAGCGGCGCACCACCACTGCTGAATTACGAACGCCGTGACTGAAATTTCAAATGATCATTAGTATCAATGTGCCACTAATGATTTCTATTCGCACAACAACACACAACATTATTTTCGACCTGGTCTGACTTACCAACCAGCGCATCAAATCCTGTCGGACCCTCTTCCATCAACGTGAAAGGTAAAGTTTAAGCTTATACACGGTCTATATAGGAAGTAGTGCGGGTAATGTAACATGAACATGATAGCAAAGCCCCTCCACCTGAAGAGCTACCTGTGCAGGTGTGAGTGCACTGACACATAAGGACCTCCTATAGGTCTGTGTTCAGTCTGCAGACAGACAGACTGACTGAACACAGACCTGCTGAGAGTTCAACATGAACACAGAGTGTGAGTGTGTGAGCCTCACCATCGAACCAGGAGCCGTGCAGAGCTTTGAACGCTTTCCCAGAATGCTCTGCAGAGAGACACTTCACATATACACAGCCCTGAGGAGAGAGAGATAGAGAGAGAGGAAAACATTACTGTTGTTGTTATTGCTGAATTGCTTTTGTTGTGAGAGTGCTTTGGTAACATTAACAGTCATGCTAATAAAGCTGAAAATTGAAACTGGGGGGGGGGGGGGGGGGGTCACTTTGATATCAAACATCACTGAAGAAGAGAGCAGGTCACTTTAGGTCACTGGATCTCATCACGGTTTCCTCTCACCCGTACGTACGATCACACCTGGCTGAGGAGTTTCTGCTAAGAGGAACTCAAAGTAGCTTTTCAAAATAAAACAAGTTTCTCAGAGATCTATGAGGAATAACCCCCAATTTTTCACCTCATCCAGAACAGCAGTGATTTTCACCATCCACCAATTCCAACCTGATGTGTTTGTGAGGCGAATTTTATGGCTGATTACAGACAGGAGTAATCACAAGAACTCATAAGAACCTGCAGATTCACGTTCAATCTCATGATAACGAGTTGTCTCTCTAAAGACAGACACATAGACATATAAGCAGTAGATTGTGTCCTTCCAGAGGAGGAAATCTACTTCTAGACTTCTAGAATCAGCATCTCCTCATCCATGGTGTCATCGGGGTGAAATGACGTCTAAAAACCTTTCACTTGTTCATTTCCGCCTGAGTGTTTTATTTTGAAAAGAAGCCGGATGTTTTATTTTGTGTTATTTTTGTGTCTGTGCCCGACTTCCAGCACGGGTTAATCTGTGCTGAATTTATCCGCCATGCTCCGGCGTCCAGAAAAAATAGAACTCTTGGAAATTGACACGTTAACTTGAACGGTTACGATCAGCTACGATCGGAGGATATGACCTTTTAGTCGACGTTCAGGATGAAGGTGGAAGTTGGGGGTGAAAAAGTCTGTTTACTCAGAGTGTTTTTAACCCTGTGTGATCAGTCTGTCCTCCCTCTGATCGCTCTGTCGTCTCTTCATTTACTCTAAAACTCAGTCCTGGTCTCTTTGAAAACCTCATTTCAGCCTCTTCAGTTTGAACATCTCAGTTCATGTTGGTCACAGGTCTCATGTATAATCAATATTTGATCCAGACACGTGTGTACTCTTATAAAACTGAGTGGTACCCAAACATCTGATTACAGAACACACAGCTGTGACCTCGCTGTGACCTCACTGCGGCGTGGACCGTACCTCTCGGGAGTTCTTGTCGACGGCGATGTGAACGATGCCGTCATTGTCGCTGCATTTCTCCAGGATGGCCTCATGGATCGCCAAGTCCCAGTTCTCCCCGACTTCCCTGAAACACACACACACACCCACACACACACACACACAGGTTACACACTGGAAGTGACATCACAGACAGTGATGTCGCCGTGACAGTAAAGGGGCGGGCCTCACATGATGGGGTCGAACATGTTCCTGATCTTCAGACACGGGGTCAGGCTGTTGGGGGGGGAGTTCCTGCGGTCCAGAGGGAACGCTGAAGAGGAAGAGGAGGAGACAACCTTCATCAGCCCACCTGACTCGTTACCCATCATGCTCTGCTGCCTGAGTAATGTCACCTACCTTTGCCCTGCCAGACTTTGGAGGGTCCTGAGGAGGTTTTGTCACAGGTGAGTGACGGCTGGATCCACCTCCACACCAGGTAGTCCGCCCCCCCGATCCTCTGGGTCTCTGTCCTGATCCTGGACTCACCTGCCGACAGGTAGCTCTCCGCTCGCTCCCACACCTTCCTCATCTTCTTCCTGTATGACATCATAGAATATCAGCTGACCACCTGAACAGGTAAGAACACCTGACCCTCCACAGGTGAGCATAAATACACACTTTCACACACATACACAGGAGACCAATCAGATCTGTGTGTGTGTGTGTGTGTGATCTGAGCGTACCTGTCCTGAGGTGAGACCAGGGAGTCTCTGACGTGGGGGATGGGCAGGTAGGGCTGCAGGTCCTGGTTCTCTTGACATGCATCATTGTGACTCCTCAACAGATCTGAACACACAGAGAGACACACAACTTAGATTTAAACAAAAAACTACACACTGTGTGCGTTTGTGTTTGTGTGTTTGTGTGTGTCAGTCTCACCGATGATCCTGTCCACCATGTCGTACATCTGTCTGGTCTCCTCCTCCTCTCTTCTCCAGCGATACTTCATGTAACACACAACGCTCCATACACAGCCGACCACTAAACACACACACACAAACACACACACACACACACACACACAAACAGAAACAAACAAACACACACATGTTTAAACTCAGCCTTTAAACCGATAATGTTAGGATTCATGTTTAATGAACACTTGAATGTGCACGTTTGTGGATATGATGCCCTCTAGTGTTACAGTCTGTGTCTGCACAGATAAAACAAAATAAAACAGCGACATGTTTTTGTGACGATGATGATGAAAAATCTCTTTTCTAATTCAATGTCAGGTTTTTAAAAAGTAATTCAGAGTCTCCCACAGAGTGGTGAACCTCTGAGACACTCAGCCTCTCTGACCGTCCGTCTTGGTCATAAACTCTGATAACTTTTTAGAAACACAAAGTTTTTCAAACGACAACAAAAAAAATTGAATTTAACTTTTCGTTTGTTGTCTTTGCACTAGTCTCAATTTTTTTTCCATTTATTATTATCTTACAGATCTATTTATTTTGTTTTATTATCATTATTATTACCGTTTTTATTATTACTCTTATTACATAATTTACCGTGATTTTTATTTTTTATTATATAATTAATAAATTTATTATTATTAACAGATGTTTATATATGTATGTATGCGTGTTTGTAGATATGTATGTATATTTTTATGCATATATATATATTTTTTTTCTTTGTCAACCAAACCTAGCTCATGGGATGGGTGGATGGGGGGGGGGGGGGGGTATGTACCCTCTTAAGTACACTATTGTACTGCATATTATATACGCTTTTTTTCTTTTCACTATTGATGTAATTATTTTGACTCAACATTGTATTATTATCATTATTATTTGTGTATGTTTTTGTTCTGTATTTCTTTTCCCTTTATTTTGATTATACCTTAGTTTGTACTCTCATTCAGTCATTACTATGATGAATTTAATTTTATTATCGTATTTATTTAAACGATTTGTATTTTTCCAGCTCTTCTGTTTGTGTAAAAATTGAGCAAAAACTTTTTACCTTGTTTGCACTCTTTAATATATAAAAGAAAATATCATTTTAAAAGAAAAAAAGAAACTCAATTTTTTTCAAACAACAAAAAATATTGAATTTTAACTTTTTGATTGTTGTCTTTGCAAACAATTCTGATTTTATCCACATTTTATAGACATGTTTTTGGTCATTGTTGTTATTATTGTTGTTTATGTTGTTGTTATTGTTGTTTATGTTGTTGTTATTGTTGTTTATGTTGTTGTTATTGTTGTTTATGTTGTTGTTGTTGTTGTTAATCTTACCGGCTGTGAAGAGGAAGACTCTGCTGATGACGGTGAGGAAGGCTCTGCGGAAGCGGCAGCTGAACGGCATCTTGGGATGTGTGGACTCAAGGACAGAGATCTCAGAGACATCAGTGACCGGGTCATCACCTGTCTGACCTGACAGTCTGCACACACGCACACGCACACAAATTGTGAGTCCAGGGTCACATGACAGCTCTGACAACAGACTGAACAGGTGTGATGTTTTACCTGATCCCCACATCCTGCCCAGTCCTGATGATCCACTCCAGAGAAACTTCGATGAAACCTTTAAACAGCTGATTCTGAGTCTGTGAGACACACACACACACAGACACACAAACAGATACATCAGCAGTTTGTTCCTGTGTTTGTTCACCTTCAGCTTGTTCCTCTTTCACACAGAGCTCAGACGAAGGTGAACACACACCTGTCAGTGAGTCGTCAGTGTAAAGGTGAGAGGATTTAAACTTACCTGTAAATATTCAGACACCTGCTGCAGGGTTAGACTCCTGTTAGGGTGCTGAACGTCTCCACAGTCATGCTGACCTGCAACCAAACAACACACCTCATCAACACCTGACCACAGGTGAGTCCAGACTGACCGCAGGTGAGTCCAGACTGACCGCAGGTGAGTCCAGACAGACCACAGGAGCTAACAGGTGAGTGTCAGAGGGATGTGGCTTACCTGCGATGTGGGCCAGGTGGTCGTGCAGACTGAGCAGCAGGTTCAGGATCAGGTCTTTCTCCGTCTTGTTCTGAGTTGAGAAAACAGTCATTACAAAGTGTACCTGTGAACACCTGTGACACCAGCTGCTGGTCCACATTCATCACTCAGACTGGAAACCTGTTATATAACAAACACAAAGGTCACACTGCCACCTGGTGTTTGGGTGGAGTATAGCAGTGTGGTGCAGAGGCTCTCACACAGCAGTGATGATCATGACAGCTCCTGTGTTTCTGATGGAGCACAGTCTGGTCCCTCCACCTCACCTCTCTCAGTGCGTCCACACTCGCTCTAAATACTCTGAAATTCTACCTGAAAACTGTCCTGCTCAGCTGCATGTGTGAACTCAAACTTTTCCTCCAGCATGCTGATGACATTTCCACGTGATGTCGGGCTGAGCTGATGAGTGCACACAGCAGGTAAACTCAGGTAAATACACCGATGGTGATAATATCTCTGCTAATGACGATGATGATGATGATGATGATGATGATCACACACAAACAGAGAGACAGACCATCTCACAGCAGGATATTTACGCTCCTGCTCCTCTGCAGAGCCACACACTCACTACGTTTACAGTCACAGTTTCATCGGACGAAGCTCATAAATACATGCAGCTGAAAAAAATCGAATTATTGACGTGAATGTGTCCTCCTCCCCAAAAATAGGGGGCGATATGGGTCTTTTCAGCGGCGCTGTCTCCGACCCCATACAACCGATGAGACACACGCTACTCCTCTTCTCTGGTGTTTTTGTTCCGGGGTTATGGAGGCGTGGCGTACGCGCACATGCATTGTCCGATCATACTCCGACTACGCTGGTTACATGGTAGAGAAAATCGTATTCCAATCACATTATCTGGGTGTCTTAATCAGAGTTCTCAAACTCCGATTATAGTCGGACTAAAGTGTTTACATGACCTTCAGTTGTCCGGTCTTAATCGGAATAAGACGATAATTCGGTTTTCTCGAGTGTCATGGAAACGGACTGACTGAGGGTGATGGTGGGATGAGGTTATTCCTCCTCTGACGCTCCCTCAGAGGGAGTAAAAGGAAACGTCATAATGAGGTGCATTAACACACTGATATCTCACAGCTTTTAGGTGAAGTATGAAGGTGACCGAACTTCATTCTGGATCTGGATATCCAGAATCTGGACAAGGAGAGAAGTCTGATTCGAATTATGATCTTAGTCCGATTAAAGTGTGCAGGTAAACGCTCTGAGTGTGTCTAAGAAACAGAGAGACAACAAGACAACGAGGTTTAACAATGAGAAATGTGGACCTTCAGTGATGAGTCTGCTGTCTGTTCTCAGTACGTCACCCCCCCCTCCAAATACTTCAACACACTTTAAAATAATTTAAAATACCTTGAAATACTTTAAAATACTTCTATACAGCCAACAGGTGTGAGCTGTCATCATTCACCTTTTAGGTCAACAATCACATCTGCTTAAGTTTTCAGAACTGCTTTTATTAATATGATGTTAGTTATACTGTGCATCCCTAGTACTTCCGAGCGCGCGCGCACACACACACACACACACACAGATAAAGTAGATCTGTACTTACATAAGAGGCGTCAAAGACACTGCCAAAAGGGTGACTCTTTACTGAAACAGAGAGAGAGAGAGAGAGATCATTATATTGATAATAAAACACACACTTATTTTAACTCTGACCTGTCATATGAAGTAAATCATGTGATCAGGAGGAAGTGAATTTGACTTTTGAAAAAGTTTGTTCAAAGTTTAAAGTTAGTTGGAACGTCCAGGTTTGATCTGCAGCAGGTGTGTGTTTATGTTTATTACACCTGTAAAATTATTCACACCTGTGAGGCTCAGCATGCAGAGTGGATTTTAATATGAAACTCTCTTATCTTTATTATCATTGACCTTTTAAAGTCCGCACATCTGAGAGTCCAAGTGTGTCTGCTGCTTTGGCTGTACTGAGAGGAGGACAGGTGTGGACAGGAGCCTCACTTTCTTAAAACACAGATGAGGACAGGAGGGTGTGACTGAGGACTCGGTGATTTTAGACCCTGGAACTCTCAGCCCGTTGAAGCACGCTGATGGCACTTAGTTAAATGTAATATATTGTGATTAATGTAAATATTGACAAGAACACTTCATACCGTCTTTTACTTATGTGTGTGTATATATATGTGTATACAAGTGTAATGACAATAAAGTTGAATCTAATCTAAATGTTCCCTGTTACTCTTAAATCAAATCTAACAGTGTTTATTGGTCGCTTGTCTTTTCCGATTATCTCCTGCATCTGTGAGGTCTTTGTGTCTCTTTGATTTTTTTTGTCGTAAGGCGTTGCGTTGGAGAAAGCAGAATGGTCAGCTGTTTCGGCTGCACAGGCTCTCACCGACAGTGCTGTCGGCTTCACCTGTTAAAGTGCTATGGTTGGGTGTAGCTGCTGTCTGCTACGACGCAGTTGTTTGATACTTTGTTCTAATTCAGCACAATTGGTTCAGTGCGGTGTGACCTGGAGCAACTCCTCTTTTCATTGGCTATTCGTATAGTCGACCAAAACATGGAAGAATGACAACAATTGAAAAGCATATTGATCGTGTTTTATATCGATATTGAGGGAAACTAATTTTCAATATATCGTTATCGTTTTATCGCCCAGCCCTAGGACTGGGCGATTATGTGATTGTGAGCAATGATCCTGATAAATTTCAGTTTGATATCAGTGATCAGCTGTGAGCATATTTACTCGATCAAACATAGCGGAACATGTCACAACAGCCAATCAGAGTCGAGCTTTTCCTGCTCACTTCTGTAATTTCACGGAGAAGTTAACAGAATGACTGAACGTGGAGCTGAGGGTAACAAAATAGATGTCAGCCGTGACTTTGAGTCATCCTCCGAAGATGTTATTGTTGAGAAGTTATTCAGCGTCGGTTGCGTGGCGGTGGTTCGGGTATCTCCAAAGTGACGTCAAGCAGTTAAGCCGATGTGTAAGGTATGTCGGCGGTCAGTGCCCTTATAAATCGTCAACACAACAAATCTGTTTTGAAGAAGTTCTTCCCGAGTGATTTTGGGGAAAGTATGACAATGTGGGCGGAGTCTGTACAGCCTGCCACTGCTGACGGCATGAGTAGCATTAACAGTTAAGCGACAACTAGCGGTGCAGCCACCAGACCAAAGTAATCAATCGTATCATCTACGTTTACATCATCTAATGTTTACATTTTGATGTGTTTTCATTATTCCTGAGGGGGCGGTTTGTTTATTTTGGATCTACATACCTGCGAAAAACACTCAGGACCGTAAACTAGTTCACTATATTCTTTAGTATCTATCTACTTTTGTTGTACTGTTGAGTTAAAATGATTTGTATATATTATTTATATTTGTCTCATTTAATTTGCTTTATTTACTTTGTATGTTAATAAAATGTTGAACTAATCGCTAGTTTCTTTAGTTTTCAGTACAGATGCTTTAATACTGGCCGTTAAAAAAAATATCGGGATAATAATTGAGATCGGACGATACGATCAAATATATCGTGATCTTTTTTCTTTTGCCAAATCGCCCAGTCCTACGCAGCATCACACCCCCACCACCTCCAACTACAGCCCAGACCCTCACAGGTGGGCTCAGGTACTCACTGGCTGTGTCCTCGGGGGTCCCGGAGCCCCTCATCCTCAGGTACATGAGACCCAGCAGGAGGAAGAAGAGGCAGGCCGCGGTGAGCAGGATCATGGACAGGTAGTGGGCGCTGAAGGACCCGGAGGACGCCGCCTCCTCCCGCCGGAACTGCTGCAGCAGCTCGTCCTCCGGTCCGGGTGGTGGGGGGGACGTTTTGGAGGCCGGACAGAGGGTTCGGGAGGACCCGGTGTGGTTCGAGTGGTTGGTCCAGGGCATGTGAGACAGGCTGCTGTAGGAGGAGAACCGGGGTCTGAGCCCGATGCTAAAGCGGCCAGAGGCCCCAGGGTCCCCGGACATGTGGTGGTGGTTCTTCCCGGACTCCCCTCCTCTGTGGTTCTGGTTTAGGGACACATAGATGGACTTCCGTGGGGAGATGTGAGTCCTGAAGGATCCTGGAGGGTCCGCGTCCCCCTCCTCCCCCCGGCCACCCAGCATGGTCAGACCCTCCGGCTGGTCCTGGTCCCTGGACCCGCCTGTCTGAGCCCCTCTGCCGGCTCTGGAATAGCTGGGTCTGGGCTCCAGTCGGTCCCGGTGTCGGTCTCCGGCCCCCGGGCCTGAGCCCTGCTCGTCCCCGTCAGAGTCCGAGTACTCCCCGGTGATCTGGTTCCCGTGAGCCCCGCAGCCGTTCACAGAGCGGCAGTTCTTCTCCGGGCCCACCTCCTCCTCGTCCTCCTCCTCCTCCCCGGACTCCTCAGCCCTCCCTTCGGCCCCGAGGCCCCTGGATCTGCCGCGGATTCTCCAGCCCGGCCCCGGGGAGGACCTGCTGCTGTTCGCCGGGCTGTGAGTGGCGTTAATCCGGGTCCTGGCCGGAGCTGAAAACCCGGGGCTGCCTTTCTTCTTCAGAGGAGTTTCGGCGTCGGACTCGTCGGAGCTGAAGCCGAGGACGGACGACTTCCGGCCGGCTCTCCTGTTGGAGATGAGCTGCGTGACGTCACGGCTGGCTCCCGCCGAGCCGCCGCCGCCGGAGGAGCCGCTGATGGCGGCCCCGCTGCGGCTCTTCCCGGCCCTGGAGCCCCGCTGCTGCTGCTCCTCTCGAAGCTTCTTCAGCTTCTTTAGGTACACGGGCCGGGTGTTCTCGGTTACCGGGCCCGGGGTGAACCCTAAGCGCTTTAATTCGGAGAAAAGCTCCTCATCCGTTAACTGCGTAGACGCCATCTTGGTGAAGTCTCAGAGAAGGTTGTGTGGCGGAAGTGACGTAGGCACGAAGTGGGCAGCGGACCAATCGGGCTGCGTTTGAGATAAGCAGCGTTAATCAGCGTTTATAGTGTTCACGTTCCCCAACACTTTCTGATAAACAAAAAACACGCCGAGACCGAGATAATGGCTTTAAAATTTAAACTAAGAGAAATGTGAAGTTTATCATGTAAGTTTCAAAGTATATCGCTCCCTGGTCCTAAACTTTGTTTTTCTAAACTTTGATAATTTCTATTTATCATTAGAAATAATGACAACAACAACCATAATAATAATAATAATAATAATAATAATAATAATAATTATTATTATTATTATTATTATTATTATTATTATTATTATAATAATAATAATAATAATAATATATAATAATAATAATAATAATAATAATAATTATTATTATTATTATTATTATTTATTATTATTTTATTATTATTGTTATTATTATTTTAATTTACTCTTAACAAAAGCAATAATAATAATAAAAATAAAATAATACTACTACTTATAATGATAATAACAATAATAATAATTAGTATTATTATTTTTATTTTTTGTTTCGATGTTGTTGTTGTTGTTTTATTATTATAGGGTTATAAACTGCAAAAATAAAAGCAATAACTTTAACCGTTATTTATTTATTTATCTTTATTCCAGCTAAGGCAATTTCTCAACTTGACAATATCATGTCACATTGCAACATTTCTTATCCATTGGTTGGAATTGAGCAGGGAGAATAAACGTCTTATATTACCTGCCCCTCACTCACTTACTCTCCACTCATTCCCCAGTGGCTGAACGAGTCTTCCAGCTACAGTTGGCTCTCTCTGTCTCTGTCTTGGTCCACTTTATCATTATTTGAAGACAGTTCAATTGATGGCGATTATGAAAGATCTTAAATTGATGTTCGGTTACTTCATTGTTGAGGTTCACCAAAAAAAGAAGAAAAAAAAATCACTTTGTTAATTTCTTGTAACACTGTTTAGCAGAAACATTAATAGCTGTTTGCGGCTCTATTTTTAATGTGAAACTCACCAAAGTTAGAGACCCGAACAACAAAACATTAAAACCAAAAGAACTTTTTGTCAGATTGTCAGACGTGAACCGAGAGAAAACATGTTTTATGAAACCTTTAAATGGTTTCCCCTTTTGTCACTTTGAACTGTTTATACTATATTCTGTGTAAATAATGTATTTATGAACAATAATCAGTGTATAAACACTGACTATTGTATAAAGATACTGATTATTCGATTATTTGTTTTCTTCTTTATCACTTTTTTAATAAAGATGAAAATGTAACTCAGGAGGAGCAGGTCACAGGATTTAAGCAGAAATAACCCGAGCATAAAAATAAACCCTCAACGAAAGTATCTGTTTATAAATCAGTTTATTAGTTATGAATAACATGAATCTGTTAGTGCAAAGCAAACCAAGTCACATAATCACACAAACACAAAAACACCTCTACCCTCTGCTGTTTAAACTTTTTCATTTTTATATATATAGAGACTTTATTCACTGACCACTTATTTCACTGAGGACAGACTCATATAAAACACCATTCCAACATTCGTACATTCACATTTACAACATAAAAAGATGTAAATTACTGATTTTATAACCAGACATGTAAATTAACATTATATTGTTCCCAGTTTGTCTGAGCCAGACAGAGAGAGAGAGAGAGAGAGAGAGAGAAGAAAACACAGAAAACCTCCATATTTAAAGAGTGAGACTAACAGCTGATCTGATTAAATGGAGAAAAATTAAACAGAAAAACATCAAATTATAAAATAAAATAAGAAAAACATCAGATCAGTTTTTACAGCAGAATTAAATAAACACCATGTTTTTATTTACAGTAAACTAATACGTTTTTATCGATTCATTCAATCATATCTGAAAACACACACAGACACACACACAGTAAACACACTGTGTGCTGCTGAGAGACCAGCGGGGGGCGTCACAGAGCTGTGTTCAGATCAGGTGAGTAGATTTAAATCTGTGATCCGATTAATGTGAGTCAAACACTCAGTTCTTCAGCATTCATTCAATAAAACCACCCGCAGTGTGTGTCTGTGCGTGTTCATATGTGTGTGTGTGTGCGCGCGTCTCAGTGCTTCTTCATGGAGTCCAGCACTCTCAGGATGTGCAGGAACAGGTTGACGATGTCCAGGTAGAGGTTGATGGAGGCCAGCACATGTTCCTCAGGTGAGAGCTGCTTCATCAGCAGGTGAGTGTCGTAGATGATGAACCCACAGAAGACCAGAGCGCCGAGCCCACTCAGGACCAGCTCAGTGCTGTCACTGTCAAAGAAGAACTACGGTGGGGGGGAGGGGGACAAAATCAAAATCATCATCATCATCATCATCATGATCATCATCAGAGTTCCAGAGACACACAGGACCATTATCTCTGATTGGTGTCTTTAAAATTCGGCTTATTTTCGGCTCCTGTCTCTTTAAGACATTCTCGTCTCGTCATCATTACAGGTGGAGTAGACAGGATTTCTTTAAAGAAGCATCTTTTTTTGTGTTTTTTGTAAAATAAGCTTTTAATTTCAGTCAATAGTTATTAGTTATTGATGAGATTTGGTAATATAACGATATCCATGTGTTCTCTTATGTCTGTGTCGTCAACATTTGAACATTTTTGAGCGGTCCGCTCAAAATCAACCTTCAGATGAGAAAGGTAGACCCACTCACCCTCATGAATCCAGCGATGATCAGGATCCAAAGACAAGCAAACAGTCTGCAACACAGTGAGGGAGGTGTGAGTGAAGTACAGATACAAATACTGACATACAGGTACGGTTGGGCGGTATGACGGTATAAAAGTGTCTACAGGTAGAAATGTTGCTCTACTGTTTATACCGGAGAGAGAGAGAGAGCAGATGTTTGCTGCATCTCTCTCAGTCAGTGTGCAGTCGTCAGCGCTCGCTAACGGGAAAGCTGGAGCGCACCTGTTTGGGTGCGTTTCTGTATATTCACCAGCATGTTGTGCGGAGTTTGTTCGTGTTTGATTGGTCAGGTTTAAGTGCGCTCCCTGTAATCACCAGCGTGTCCAGCAGACTGCTTGGCATAGTTTCAACGAATAAGAAACAGCTTCACTGGTGGTGGTCATGGCGGACGCGGAGATGAGGAAGAGGAGGAGGAACTTGTTCAGAAAAAGGGCGCGAGTCGCAACATCGGTTGTCTGGAGATTCTTCGGATTTAGAAAATCCAACAATGATCAAAAACAAAACTATACAAAGAGTGTTGTGTGGCTGTCGTTGGTGGAGGAGGAAACACCAACAACCTCTTCCACCAGCTAAAGATGAAACACGCCGAGCTCTATTATGAGAGACTAAAGATGCGTCATGCACCTGCTGCACCGAAAACTAAAACTGCAGCAGCCTCTCTCAAAGTCTTCCCCAAAGTTACACCATATGAGCAAAAATCGCCAGACTGGTCTGACATTTAGTTTACAAATCAGAATTTAAAATAAAAGGAAAATGAACAAATGAGACAGTCGGGTTATTTTTAGGACACTAACTGAATTTATAGAGGGAATAAACATACAGTCATATGTACTGTTACTGTGATATAAGATTTGGTTCATACCGCCCAACACTTTATACAGGGTTAATATTCATGTAAATTACACCTGAGGTTCTCAGCAGACACTCACCCCGCTCCCATCTTACTGAAGTCTCTCTTTGACTGAAAGGTGAACGCTGTGAGTCCGACAAACACGGCACAGGTGAGGAACAGGGCCTGCAGCACGGTGGAGTACTCGTAGAACGTTACTGAGGAGAGAGGACGCAACAGTTAGACACCAGCCAGGACGATCAGCGAGCAGCAGACTAACAGTGTACTAACAGTCTCAGCGGCTGTGGACAGTTCGGTTGTTACTTACAGGCTGTTGCCACGGACACCGCCTCCAGAACAGTCTGAAAACAAAACAACAGTTAGTGACAAAAACGGACGAAATTACAAACTGATGGTTCAGATCCACAGGCAGTGAGCGGCTAATCTAGCATCATTATTAAGAGCTGTTCAATACTGAGACTAGTGAATATAGAACCATGTCCCTGTAGTTACATAGTAACCAGATTACAGACTTACAAACAGCAGCAGCAGGTACAGGTTGAGCGGGTGTTGATGTCTGTAAAAAGCCAGAACCACCAGAACCACCAGAGAACCCAGAGCTGAACCCAGAACCACAGCAGGACTGAAACAGAACAAAGTCAGAGAGCGAGGGACCGTCAGAGTGCAACCATCCTCATCCTCATCATCTTCATCATTATCACATGACCTGTGACCTCAGTGATTATGATTAAATGTAATCAGGTGTCAGGGTGGGACAGTCTGGGAGATCAGCTGACTCACCTGTCGTGGACAAACCCTTTGATCGTGTCCGAAAACATAAACAGAGCGGAGGTGGCCGTGGTCAGGATGATCTGCAGACTCAGGAGCATGTAGACCTTCCTCAGGAAGTCTGCGCAGGTAACAACAGGTACACATCAACAGGAGTAACACAGGTAACACAACAGGTACACCTCAGTGTGGTCATACTGTTATTTCAGATTTGTGTAGTTAGACTGTGTGAGTTTGTGTTTATTGTTTATTAGGTTCCTCATTAGCTTTTATCAAGACAAAGTTAGTCTTCCTGGAGTCCAACACAGTGAGTCTGTGTGAGTCTTTGTTGGTCTGTGTGAGTCTGAGTGAGTCTGTGTGTGTGAGTATTAGTCTGTAATGGTCTGTGTGAGTCTGTGTGAGTCTGTGTGTTGGTCTGTGTGGGTCTTTGTTGGTCTGTGTGAGTCTTTGTTGGTCTGTGTGAGTCTGTGTGTGTGAGTATTAGTCTGTAATGGTCTGTGTGAGTCTGTGTGTTGGTCTGTGTTAGTCTTTGTTGGTCTGTGTGAGTCTGAGTGAGTCTGTGTTGGTCTGTGTGTGTGAGTATTAGTCTGTAATGGTCTGTGTGTTGGTCTGTGTGAGTCTTTGTTGGTCTGTGTGAGTCTGAGTGAGTCTGTGTTGGTCTGTGTGTGTGAGTATTAGTCTGTAATGGTCTGTGTGTTGGTCTGTGTGAGTCTGTGTGTGTCTGTGTTTTTGGCAGGTCTGTTTCCTGTCACCTGTTCCTCAGGTGTTAGCCTGTTATCACGTGTCATCTGACGTGTCATCTCGTGTCTCTCATTAGCAGTAAACAATCGTGTCATTTTCTTCTTTATTAATAATAATAATAATATTAATAATGTTTATAGTGAGGTCATCCTCAGTCAGCGGTGTTTTTATCTGACGTGTCAGCTGATCAGTCTGTTAGCATGTTAGCTGGTTAGACTTACCCATCCGGATCTGAACACTGGCCGTGGCCACGTTGGTTCCGTAGTTAAAATCATCCTCTATGGAGGAGCGTGGATATTTCTCACTGCTCATCTTCAGTCCGTCCGTGTTTTATCTCTAACAGGTAAAAGTGAAATTAAAGCTTCTCTGAGGACCTGAGAGGAAACAGCTGACTGACTGACTGGCCTAACTCTGCTGCTCTAACAGTCACCGTTCACTACAGTCTGAGGTCAACTACCGCCACCTGCTGTCCTGGAGCAGAAGGCAGAAAAATACACAATACACTCTATTAACCTCTGTTTGTTTGTTTTTCCTAAACTTTTATTTAAGTTCTTTAATAATGACAAATCAATATTATTAAACATGAGGAAGCTACATTCATTTGAGAGGAATCAAGAAACAAAAAATCATAGTCCAGCATACAAAAATACATAAATTATAATATAAATAATGACATTGGGATCATACATTCAGTCCAGATCATAGAGAGGACCTCAAGTCTTTGTAGAAAGTCATAGTTCGAATCACTTTCTTATTTGTTAGTCCAGTTAAAATACATCTTCATTTCATTGTTAAACTGGTTGATGCTCAGCTGACAAATCATTTATTCTTATATATACAAATAAAACTACATTTTATAATTTTGAAATAAAATGAAAATTTAAAATAAGACTTATCTTTCACTCAAACAGCTTTATTATCTGAACATTATGACTTATTAATATTTATTATCTGTTTTTATGAATGAGATTATCTCTAAAAAAAAAGGTTGACCTTATATCTATATTCACATTTTTTATTTTTGAGACTTCAGGATTTCATTTAATCTGATATTTTCTGATACTCTGTCACACTGAAGTTGTTATTCAGACTGTAGGGAAATACTTCAGGTGTGTTTGATGATACCTGGTTAAAGAAATGATTCCCTTCAGATATCAGTCATCATCTCAGAGTCTGAGAAACAGAGTTCATATTAAACAGACTGAGATAATCTAAATATAAACTCTAACCTGGTTAATGAGTGAGTGACTGTTCATTAGTCAACAGGTTAACACGGTTATTAGTGTGACACACACACACACACACACACACACACACACACACACACACACACACACACACACTGGACTCGGACTCTGTCGGTCTTTGTCGGTCTGATCCTGATCTGATCGCTCTCCCGGTGCCGGTCTCCTGATGATCCGGGTCTCTCCCGGTAAATTCCGGTGGAGGACATGAGCGCACGCGGGGCCGAGCCGGGGGGGCAAAGCTCCGGTTCCCGGGAGCCCGTGGGGGCCGCGGAGACCCAGAAGAGACGACCCGGGAGACCCAGGAAACCCCAGAAGGTAAAAGCCTGAAGCCGGGTCCGAGCCTGAACCGGTCTGAGGGTCCTGATCCAGACTGGTTCGGTTCGTTCTGATAGTTTGACCCGTTTTTACCTGTTTTTACCGGCTCTGATCCGGTTTGTTCTGATAGAAAACCTGTTCAAACATCTTCGATCTGTTTGTCCCTGAAAGGCTCCTGTTAGTGTGTGTGTGTGTGTGTGTGTGTGTGTGTGTGTGTGTGTGTGTGTGTGTGTGTGTGTGTGTGTGTGTGTGTGTGTGTGTGTATTTTATTCACTCCTACAAACTAAAAGGTAAAGTTTTTTATTAAAATGAGTTCACGAAGTGTGGAAGGTAGCAAAGTAGGGGAGACCGGGGCTTGTCGTCACATTGCAATTATCTTTGCCACCAGAGGGCGCAACTAAAAAGTGGAATACTAGTTTTCTTCCTTTGCATGGCCAGAGGTCGTGTCTGAGAAGGGAACACTGTGAGCTGAGATGAGCACCAATAAACCATTTTAAAAATGAAGTTTAACTTAATTTGATTTATTTTCGGCTCTGAGGAGATTTTCTGTTTCCGTGTGTTCACCGACTCACCTGAGTTTACCTGTTTACACACATGAACACGCACAGGAGGAGAGCGGAGAGGGAGAGCCTGCCCCTAAGAGACCGAGGGGGCGTCCGAAAGGAAGCAAGAACAAGGGACCACCCAAGGCAGCAACCAAGGTAGCAAGGACAAACACACACACACACACACACAGGTGTGTTCAGGTGTTTTTTTCAGGGTGTTGGACTCAGTCTCAGAAACATAAAACTGTCGGATTATTAATTCATCAGGTTTTATATTTCACTAAACTCCCCATCAATTATACATACACACACACACACACACACACCCCTGTGCTGGGCTCTGATTGGCTGATAAATCTGATGAGTCATGATTCTGACCTGGTGATGAAGGTTCTGATCTGTCAGACAGACTCGGTGTTTAAACTCTGAGCAGGTACAGACGGGTTCGAACAAACAGGTGTTTTTATTATCGTTACACTGGAGAGACAAACAGCCAATCAGAGAGCTCGGTGACCTCTGAGGAGAAAAAAAACATTCAGGTGAAAATTTAGATGCTAACAGGTGAAAAAGTTCAAACACCTGAATCAGAGACAGAGGATCAGCCTATCAAAGCCGACTCTGTGTGTGTGTGTGTGTGTGTGTGTGTGTGTGTGTGTGTGTGTGTGTGTGTGTACTTACCTCACCTGGCTCAGGTTACAGCTGGTCTGACACAGACAGGTCCTTCATGGATCTCTTTGATCCAGGTCCAGACCCGGGTTCAGGTTCTGCTTCACGTGTATTTTTATGATCTCACAGGTTAAACTCTGACACCTTACCTGAGTGACTCAGGTGAGCTCAGGTGTGAGTCTGAGTTCAGAGTTTAGAAAAAGGATCTGAAGTTTGGGTTAGAGACTGAAAAACCCTGTAATAAGTAGATTGTTAACATGGATCACTGCGAAGGTCACAGTGAAAGGTTTGTTTGTTTGTTTGTTTGTCTGTTTGTTTGTTTGTTTGTTTGTTTGTTTGTTAATAACAGGGGAAGTCCGTCTGATTCTGTTTCTGTGTTTATTCAGAAATCTGAGGTGAGCAGCGGGAAGAGACCGCGAGGACGACCACGGAAATGGGCGAGTCTGACCTCACATAAACACACACACTGATCTTTACCGTTCAACCGACTGTGATGTGTTTCTTTTCATAGTAACGATAAAAAAGGACCCTCTACCCTCTCCTCTCTCTTTCTTCTCCTGCAGCCTCAGCAGGTGGTCCAGAAGACCTCCGCTCAGGTGAGACACACCTGTCCCTTTGTGCTGATGTCTCTTTCCTGCTTCAGTCTGTAGATCTTTGGCTCCTCATGGTTGAAGGTGATAGCAGGTGTGTTATCTGAGTAAACACTTTGACTTAGTCTGGTTCAGCCTCTTCATTAACTCAGTGAACAGGTGAGAGGACAGGTGAGAGGACAGGTGAGAGGACAGGTGAGAGGACAGATGAGACCCTCTGAGATGAGCTTCAAACTGAAAACAGCCTCGTGTTTTTATATTAACAGGAAGAAGAAGAAGAGGAGGAGGAGGAGGAGGCTGCAGAGGAAGACTAAACCTCCACATGATCACACCTCTACCTCATTACCTGTCCACCACACCTGTCCATACCTCCAACTGTCCGTCACTACAGGTTCATGTTGACCTCAGAGGTTCAGCTGTACAAACAGCAAAGAGACTAAACACAACTCACCTACTCTCTTCCAGCAGCCGCTTGTTTGTAGTGAGACCTCAGGCCAGTCCATTACAGACTACAGCGGGGTGCCGCAGCTCAAGGAAGAACATTTATGATCATTTCTTCATCATTTCCTTGAAGTAATAATCACCATATTAATCATTTTACAGACGCGGTAGTTCTTCTGTCTTAGCGTCTCGGTCTGATTGTATTTCCATGAAGAAATGATCATAAATGTTCTTCCTTGAGCTGCGGCACCCCGCTGTAGTCTGTAATGGACTGGCCTGAGGTCTCGCTACAAACAAACGGCTGCTGGAAGAGAGTAGGTGAGTTGTGTTTAGTCTCTTTGCTAAAGAAATGAGTCAAAGTTAAAAAGATGTTTGGTGTCTAGTACTATGTCTGTGACCCTATATGTCCTGTTGATGAAGTTAGGTGCTGTTCTGAGCATTATTTGTGGCGTTTTGGTTGAGGTTTGTTTATGGCTCCTCAGACCGCTGTGTATTACTATCATTATTATTATTATTATTATTATTATTATTATGGCTGATTGTTTTATAACCACTGACCTCTCTGTTTATGTGAACTGTAGTCAAATATGTTTGTTTTTCTGTCTGAAACACTTGAATTTCTTCTGAGGTTCATCAGGAGGCTGTTAATTAGTTAGTTAGTTGGTTCGTTGGTTCGTTAAATATATAGTTGGTTATTTATTTAGCTTGTTATTTGCTCCATGGTTTTGTATCCTCCCTGTATAATTGAATTAACCCGATGTTACCTCAGACGTCCAGTCAGATTGATGATCTACCTCCAGAGTTTGAGACTGTCGGCAGGTTTACCTGTTTAATCAGGTTTAAACACTGATGATCATGTCCTTAACACACACACACACACACACACACACTCTCTCTTTCTCTCTCTCTCTCTCTCTCTCTGTCTCTTTTACCTGCAGGTTCAGGTGTTACAGAAAAACTATAAATTCAAAATAAATGTGTTTTATATGTTTTTTTCTGCTGTGATAACTCTGACAGATTATTGGACCTGTAATCTCTGAACAATCTGAATAATCTGAGTTTATACTTTAATATCTGACCCTGTTTGTGTCTAAAATTATATTTTTATTACTTCATTATTATTTTATTACTACTATATGTATCTACACTTGCTTTTGTTGAACACAATAAAACTTTGGCATCAGCCAAACCCGTGTGGGAGTTAATTCAGTTGGTTCGATAAATTCTGTTTTTGGTTTATGGAGTTATTGATCAATGTTTAATTTCTGTCAAAGTATTTCAGAGATTTTTATTCAGATTGACGCAAAGTGCAGTTTACAGAAAAGGTCAGTCTGATCATTGAGCTGTTGTTTTAAGGCACAGAAAGATTATTCATACAGCAGATATTAGTAATCTGTGAATTATCAGTTATCAGCTGATCTAGATGTTTAATGTATTTGCCTATCAACTGTTTTTAATCTCTTTTTCATTTTTTGTTGTTGTTTTAAAGCCATAATTTAATGATTGTACTCTGTGTTCCTAAAAAAAATCACATATTGAGAGTTTTTAACAAAATAAAACATGATAATGTTGTAAACAAACTGAGTGAAATCAGGATGAGACTCATCGGTGTGAACCTGAAGGTGTGTTGATCACCAGGTGAGTTCTTACCTGACCCCCTGCTGTACACGTAGAAACACACGGTTCCGTTTTTTACTCTGAGTTCTGCAGGAGTCCGTGTCTCAACATGAAAATCAGAAATCGTCTCTGAAACTGATTTTCAAGTTTAAATTCTCTGGAAAATAAACAGAAACGAGGGAGGAAACAGATATGAAAAAAGGAAAAGAAGAGAGGTTGTCTGGTCTGTCATGGTGGAGTTAAGTTAAATAAAAACTGTTCACAAACAAAACTAAACTAAACAGAAAACGAGCAGCACTTTCTTGGGCTTTTATTGTAGAGGGATTCCTTTTCCGGAAAAGACGGTCTTCCAGGAAGGGGTAAATATTTTTTGTAGGATAGTAGGTGAAGGTCCCGCCTCCTTCACCTCTGACATTTTTATTTTTTATTTTTTTTAATCATTTCCTTATTTTATTATTTTTAATGTATTTTTTTTCTGACTCCCCCAACTTTAATTTTTTTGTTTTATTTTAATTTTTGTTATCATTTATTATTTTTAAAATATTTTTATTCTTTATTATTTTAATTATTATTTTTTTTATTTATTTGTTTACTGAATCTCCTAACTTTCTAAAATTTTTCTTATTTTAATTTTTAATATTATTTATACTTATTTTTTTAAATATTTTTATTCTTTATTATTTTTTAATAATATTTATTATTATTATTGTTATTATTATTATTATTTATTTTATTTTATTTTTTTACTGACTCTCCTAACCCTAACCCAGCCGACGATGACGTTTCACAGTCATAAGGAATAACCAATCGGAGCCCAGCACTTTTAGCCAATCAGAGGCGACGGAGAGCGGGACCTTCCCCCTACCATCCTACAAAAAAAATCTACTTCCAGGAAGTGAGCTCGTGCAGAGTCGAAGCGTGTGTTTCTGAGATATTTGAGGTTATCCTCCAGTATGTCCGCGAGGAACCCCGGGACCAACCTAGGTAGGAAACACACACCGTGACACACACGTGCACACGCACACAAACACACACACCGACAGTTACCGGAGACTTCACCGGGTCCGTTTTAACACGTGCGGTCAGGTTCAGGTGTGTTTTCACTGTCAGAGGTTCGAACAGAGAGAATAAAACACCAGATTATTAACC